ACCCCGGAGCTTCTCACCACCTTTTCTGGTACCATTCAAGGCCCTGAATGACAAAGCCCCCTGTGTGCTGTGCTTCCTAAGATCCCTGAGGCTCACTTCCTTGGGCATCCCTCTTCCCTGGGATTCTTGGGCAATGGCTGCAGTGTACTCACAACCAGCTTGGTCCTGTCACCATGTGGAAATCCAGGATGTTGGTCTTGTTCTTTGCCGCCCTTGTTTGCCTAGAGCGATCCTGGGACAGGGGTCCCCATTCCTACCTTGGGGATGCGGAAGCCCTGCACTTCGATGTCACGAGACGTCAGGTGTGGCAAATTCATTGGGACGATGTCCGCAAAGCGCTGCACCTCATGGACCACAGCATTGGTGTAGGGCATGCGGGCCTGGTCAGCCATCTCTGAACGCCGCGCCTGCCCGATGACTTCATCGATCTCCTGTTGCACTCGACCTGGATGGACAGCACCCCTCAGTGAAGGGGCAGCTGCCCTTGACCTTGCACTACTGGGTGAATAGGTGGGTTAATACACTATTCAGACTGAGGGCATGTGGGTCAAGCCAATGCTGGAGCCACTAGTTTCTCAGGTACGTCTATCCTTCTTCCCTCGCCCTCCCTCACAAGCCAGCCAGGCTCACGCTGCACATCCGGGTGCAGGATCATGAGCAGCAGGGCCCAGGACAGTGTGGTTGACGTGATCACCATCCCCGCCATGAACAGGTCGGACACCACTATGCGCAGGTTCCTTTCATTGAAGCTGCTCTCAGGATTCCCCTTGACCTGGGCCAGGCAGAAAGGGTGGGCTCGGGGAGAGGAAGTCCCACAATGGCCCCCCGTTGTCCCCAGACAGCCCAGGTGCTGAGTCAATTTGGTGATACACAGGACCCCACCCATCTGGCCTCACAGCTCACAGGGCCTCAGCCCACAGCCCCTGGTCCCATCTTTTGGAGCTGCCAATCACCTTCTTCATCTCAGCCAGGAAGGCATCAGTCAAATCTCGGGGTGGCTTGGCAGGATCCCAGGTTGTCTTGTGCTCAGTCAACATTGTATCCAGTGAGGCTGTGAATGAATTCAGCTTGGGGAAGGCTTTTTGAGGCAGCCCAGGGATTCGAAGGAGCATTGGGAGTGCATTCAGCACCTGGGAAAGAAACAGAAGAGGCCTAGTTGCTTTTATTTCTAATTAAGAACTTATTCTCTGCCAGAGAAACCCTGTCTTAAAAAACTCCACCATTTCTCGTGGGTGTGTGCACAGCCTGTGTGTATTATCCCATGCACTCATGTTGGTGGTCAGACAACAATGAAGACAGGAAGTTCTGTCCTTCACATGGGTGCCAGGATCCAGCTCAGGTCTCCAGCCTTGCTTGGGAAGCTCCTTCACCCACTGACCACCTATCTCTCTTGTCCCTGTTTCTGCTCAGTGTTCCCCTGGACCACTCTCAGCTCCCAGCCTTTGCCACAACAGGCTCAGGCTTTGACTGTCCCCACCATCACTGGCCTCCTCCTCAGCTGCAGCCTGTAGGCTCTCTTGTAGCCAAGGTGAAAGAAAGAAATGCTCTACCCTGCAAACCTAACAGGCTTGTGTGGTTTGCTTGTAGACAGAGGGCAGAGGCTCACACCTTTCTAGAGCCCTTGACCTTTGTCCCCTCCAGCTCTCTCAGGTTTGTCAAGGTCCAGGACTCTCTCTCTGCTTTTGCCTATCACACAAGGCCCTACCCTCATTCACCCTGAATGCTTGCTTACTTTGACAAGATTTACAGCATGGAAGTGGCCATGCCCACTGCCCTGAGCCTCATACCTCACCAATGAAGCCAGTGTCCTCTCCAAAACTTTCCTTCAGGGTTTTGAGCATCCAGTTGAAGAAAGGGTCTTCATAGTCATAGCGACGGGCATAAACGAGGGACGCGATCACATTGCTCACAGCTTTACTCAGCAGGGTGCTGGGGTTGAAGGGGTGTTCTGGGGACAGAGATGTAAGCAAGTCATGCATGCTCATAAGTCCCTGCCCACACCTCGACCCCTCAGCCATCACCCACCGGCCTCCTGGATGAAGGCGTCACAGAGGTGGCCAGCCTCCTCCGTCACCCACTGCTCCAGAGACTTCCTGCCCAGGCCGAAGTCACGCAGGGTGGACACAGAGAATCTCCGCTGCTCTCGCCACTCGGGCCCATAAGGTCCAAAAACCACACCTGTAGACACATCTGTGTGTGACCAAGGACACCTGGCCATGCTGTCTCCTCAGTTCTCAAATCACCCTGAGGTCAGTCTTAGCTACCAGATACAACCAGCTGCCACCCTGGAGGCTCCTCCCTCCATTTCCGTGAGAGTCCCTTACATTGCCTGACCACATCTCCTCCATCAGACCCTGTCTGTCTTCTGCTCACTGCTCCTCAAGCCCTAGTCTATCTGCCCTGTCCCCTCTTTAGCTCTTTGCCTTTTGATTTGGGCCCAAAGCCCATGTGATTATAGATGGGCACTAGAGGGCGGTCAGCAGTGTCCTCTCCACAGGTCACCAGCACTTCCCGCACGGCCTTCAGTCCATTGACCACAACCACGGGCTTCCAGGCCATCTGCAGGCTGAACACGTCCCCATAGCGCTGTCAAAGCTGAAACACAGGGGCAGAGTACATAGGAAGTAGAGGTCCCAGCAGAGTGGAAGATCAAAGCTCCCCACACAAATCTCTGCCTGTGTGTGTGTATGTTTTTGTATGTATGTGTATGTATATTTTTCTGGTACTCATTGAACCTTGGTCCCAACCCATGCTGGGCAACTCTATCACTGACCTACATGCCCCGTCAGTGCTATGACATCTTGTGGCCTGGGGAACCATATCTTCTAAATTCAGCTAAGGTCTCATAGTAGACGTGGACACTCAGCTGTGACCCTGTAAGGTCCTTGGACCCCTTCCTCCCCCCAACCCCCACAAGAGGAGAGTCAGGTTCCTGAGATGAGCAGCCAGGCCTGAGACCACACAGCAGCCAGAGATGATAGCAGACACAGAGCCTCCCCACTTTGTTTTCCCAATAAGCCTTCTGCCTCTTGGGGGCCATCTTCCTGTCTATCCTGTGTCTCTAGCCCCACTCTGTGTGCTTAGGGGCAGCATGGCCTCTACCGCACTCCAGCACCATCTCTCTCACCTTGGACATGGTATATGGCATGTTCTCGAAGTCCAGCTGCAGCAGGTTTCCCAGCCCAGGGAGTGGCATGGGGCCTGGAGGGTAGCGGGAGGTCCAGAACTTGGGCCGGTGCATCAGGTCCAGCAGAAGCAGGAAGATGGCCGTGAAGAGGAGCGCAGGCCACAGGTTCTCTCCAGCCAGCAGACCCATGGCCGCTCCACTGCCTTTCAGACTCTTCTGGGAACACCTGCCTCAGACACCTAGAATCAGGACAGATCCTCAGATGGATCCAACAGACAGACAAAGGACCTGGTCCCTTATAAAGGGCTTAAAGCTGCACTGTGTCCTCTGCCTTGAGCCACATAGCTGTGTTTACTCTTCAAACAGAGCCTCTACGAGGGGTGAGAAAAGTCCAGGGGAAGATAGCCTCGGGTTTGCTGCCCTTTCCTCTCTCCTCAGGTGCTTAGCCAGGGGAGTGGCACCAGTAAAGGAAGATGACTCCTGAGCCTCCTAACAAGTGCACTTGTGGGCCGGGCCCTGCTGGTCACACTGCACAGGCCTCCTTGTCACTCACTCAGGTCAGCAAAGGCTCTGACCCTGACCTCCCTGGAGACCCAGACCTCTGAAGCCCAGAGGCTCAGAAGTCCCAGTGAAATGGAGGCAGGCGCTCTCTGCTGCACCCTTCAGTGTGGCAAAGGAGGCAGGGGGTGAGTTGGAGGAGAGGAGCTGAGCCTGCAGCACGCAGCATGCATTGGTTAGGGTTGGTGAAGTTTCATCCCAAGAGGGTTACTGTGGCCCTCATGGTGTGAGGCCACATTGGGACCATGGTTAGTCATGATAGGATGTGACTTAAGCAATCACAGACCACAGAACCAGCGCTTGAAACGGCGCACGCTTGTTATTTAAAGAAATGTAAAGCGTCGAGAACCAATCCCTTATGTTAACTCCTGGAGGAGTGTTCTGTTTATTCCTGAATCGGGAACTGAGCACACTGCTGAGCTAGACCGTGACCCTGAACCAAGCTCAATTCCACCTTCCCAGGTTGCAGAAGTAGCTGCAGAGGGTGAAACTGTTCTGGGACCCGGATAGAACCTGAGACTTGCGGTGACAAAGAACATAGTCCAAGGGGCACAAGCATCAAAGGACTCAAGACAAACGGGTCTTTAGTAGTTAAAACCATCTGTGTCTCACAGGTTACCGCCTGGGCTGCTGAGACGCTTGGGTGTGGGGGATGAGGGGGGAAACCCCTGACACCCAGGCCACAGCCTGAGTGCTGTTCTGACGCCTCATTTCGGAAGGAGGGTCCTTCTCCTCCCACTTAAACTGACTTCCTCTTCCCTTAACACACACGTGTGCATGCTCTCCCGCATGCACTTAACTGAGAAAAAAAAAAAAAAGTTCTTAAAAAGGTCACTGGCAAAAGAGGGGGAGGAGAAACCAAACCAGGAGAGAGGAAAATGACAGTCCACAGGCCCGACAAGACAGGGACAACCCGAAAGAGAGAAACAAGGACACATGTGTCATGTCTGAAGCCAAACTCAGCCACAGGCTTGCGTTCATAGATGTCTCTGCCAACAGAGAAACAGCCAACAAGCACAGAAGCGGCGCCCACTGTCACTCTTCTTAGGACAAGGAGGCCACAAGCACGGTCACCCTCACTGGTGTCACTTCTATGGAAATAACCCCAGGTGACACGGGCTCCCGGGAGGCGGAGCCTGCACACCTGTCCTCATAGGAGCGTCAGCTGGCGCAATCGGACAGCAGTGCCTCAGCAAGACGCCTCGGGCGCCATCACCCAGGAGTGGTCCTCTGAGAACCCACACAGGAGGAAAAGGAGGGTCCCCGAAGAGTCCTTGGACATCCGTGCCCACAGCTCCACGGTCTACAAGTGTCCCCGCCTGGTGAGGGGACAACACGCCAAGAGCCACGTAGGGCGGTAGGTAGCAGACCCCCTTCTCCGTGGCACTGAGCTTCCAGACCCCCCTAAAATGGCCCGACGGAGGCAGACTCTGCCACATGCCATGGCTTGCCTGTGCGAGCACGGCTGTAAGAAAGAATAAGAGCCTCGTCAGTGCCGTAAGGGCGCCAGGGCGTCCATAGACAGGGGTGGCAGTAGAGACAGTGGAGATTCTGAACGTGTCTCTCAAGAGTGTGCCGCACACGCTTCTTACGGGATGACGGGAGCTGACGCACTGGATTCTAGTTCCCTCTCGGTCACTGCCATCAAACACTGCGACCAAAAGAACTTGAGGGAGCACGGGCCTTACTCGCTCTGCACTCCCATCACTGAAGGGCCAAGGCACTGCTCCCAGCTGGACCGTGAAACAGAAATCGTGGAGGAATGTGGTTCACTGGCCACTCTCAGGTTCATGCCCGGCTAGCTTTCTGAGACACCCAAGACCACCCGCCGAAGGGTTGGTGCCACCCGAGGTGGCTGCGTCCTCCGGTATCAATTAAATAGTCAAGACCATTCCCCACTGGCATGGCCACAGGCCTCTCTGATCTCGGGGATCCCTCAGATGGAGTTTTCCTCTCAGACGACTCTAGCCTGTGATAGGTCGGCAACTAAAGTCACCCAGGTCTCTCTACCCCTTGTCAACTCAGCGCATAAACACGAGTCTTTAAAGCCATAACCTTCCCTTTCCTGTTCACTAGGATCTTATGATCACATCATAATATGAACTACGGTCCACAGGCTGGAGAGGTGGCTCTGTGTCTAAGAAAGAGCAATGGCTGCAATTCCAGCAGAGCCAAGTTCAGCTCCTAGCACCCATATATGCCCGGGGCCACTCACAAGCATGTGGAACTCCAGTTTTAGGGAGTCCCTGGACTTTGGCGACATTGCATACACGAGGCACACAGACATCCGTGCGGGGAAAACATCAATACCCATAAAATCAAAATAAATATTGGAAACAAAAATTCCACAGTCTTTTTACCACAGTGCTTTAAAAGTTTCACGCTCCATTAAAAACACAAAGTCTCGTAATCCAGTGTACCATAAAAAAAAAAAAAACAACAACAAATTGTGTAATTTCTTTAAAACAAAGATTATACTTTTAATTATGTATCTGTGTGGCTGTCTGTTTGGGGTATGTGTCCATGAGTGGAGGTGCTCACGGGAGCCAGACGTGTCAGATTCCCCAATAGATGAAATTATAGGTGCTCTTTAGCCACCTGACATGGGGTTGGGACCTGAACCCAGGTCCTCTGGAAAAGCAAAACTTACTCTCTTCACCGCTGAGCCATCTCTCCAGGCCAAAGTTCTACATTTTCTTATTTCAATAGGAAAGAATCAGAGCATAAGAAAGACTAAACCAAAGCAAGCCCCAGATCCAGCGGTGGAAATACGGATTCTGTAGCTTAGTGCCTAACGTGTGACCTTACTCATGGAGTACTCTTCTGGGTCCCAAGGCTGTCCACTCCCACTTGCTCAGCCCTGCCACCCACAACACACACAGTGTCTCACAGGCTTGGGCTGGCCCCACCCACAGCTGTTCTTGTCCTTGCTGGACTCCACAGACTCTGACATCTCCAGAAGCTTGGGGTCTCCCCTGTAACTGACCCTGCTTCTTCAGCAGTGGCTTCTCCTGCCTCTCCTCAGAGACTCTGACCAAGCCACAGGGTGCCAGCCGAGCTGCTCCCATGAGCCCTTCAATCTTACATGACTAGGACCGCATGGGAACCTCTCACCTTGCCCTTGGCGTCTGTGCTGACCATAGGATTTGCTTTCCTTTGTCCTTATTTCACCTCAGCGCCTTGGAGGAATGGCTAGTGTATACATTGTTGCCACAAAGATGGCTCCTCAGGAGTTCACAGACTAGCTCCAGTTGAACACACCTCCCTCCGCCTGAGTTCCCTGTGAGCAGCAGCCTTAGCTGAGGCCTCGGGTGCTGCCGCTTTCTCTGTGGCTTCAGCTTCTCAGTTTCTCCAGGTGTCTGATCTCAGGTCCCAGGGCTGTGGAGATTTAGCTTCAGCTCCTCTGGAGTCCTGAGGTGTTGCTTTCAGGAGGTGTAGAGAGGCCAGCAGCACAGCCTAAAAATCCGAAAACCCCTTTCAGGGAACAGAGGGTGTGGCACCCAGGGGAGATGAAGAGCTGAAAAGGGGCCACCCAGGGAAAGATGCAGGGGAGGCCCAGAGGCAGAACTTGAAGCTGCCCAGCCTGGCTGCTGGAGCTGCTCAGCAGGGGCAGGGCCACTTTCCTGCAAAGTATACTGAGTTTGCGAAGTATGCAAAGTAAACGAAGGGAATCTGAGAGAGAAGGCTTTCCCTGATGTGAAAAGCCAACAATTGTGACAGACCACTTTCCTGTTGTTGTGTTTTCCCTTTTATCACACCCAATAAACTCACACAATGTTTAATGTGATCACAGAGCCCTCTACAAAGTGATTGCCTGCAAAGTGGCCAACAGAGTCTGTCACTGCACAACTTTAGTATGGAGGGAAAGGCATCATTCGTATCCACAGGTGGGAAGGAGGCTTGAGCAAGACTCTGTCAAGGAGAAAAGAAGAGAGGAGAGGAGGGGAGAGAAAGAGAGGGGAGGGGAGAGGGGGGAGGGGAAAGGAGAGGAGGAGAAGGGAAGGGAGGAGAGAGGAGGAGAAGAGAGGACAGAAGAGAGGAGAGGGAAGGAGAGGGAAGGGGAAGGGAGAGGGGAGAAGAGGGGAGGAGGAAGGGGGAGGGGAGGGAAGGAGAGAGAAGATTAAAGAAGAGAAGAGAAGGAAAGGGAAGAAAAAGAGGAGAGGGGAGGGGAGGGGAGGAGAGGGGAGGGAAAGAGGAGAAGAGAGGTGGGAATTCAGCTCACTGAGAGAGCACTTGCCTGACACATTCCCTGGGGCTCTGCTCTATGACATGGGCCTTGGTGGTCTGGAGACTGACCAAGAAATGTCTCAGACCTAAGGATGACCTGGTGGGATGCCATGTATTACCAGAATAGACTTCCTAGTATGCTCACCAAAACTTTTGAAGACTCCATGGTAATTAAGCCTCCCCCTACAGTCATTTATCAACTGCACCTGTCCCACTTGGTTCCTGGGGGCACTCTCTCCCCTGACTGGACAGCTTCCCGCAGGCAAGACTCTGGGACATCCTGCCCATCTTCTTGGACGCTGGCCTATCACCTGTCTCTACTGCTGTTTTCCCTTGTGATCCAGCAATAGAAACAGGGCTGAGCTCTGAGGACAGCAGCTTTTTCTGTGTGAGGCATATCAGCAATTCGTAGCAGGGTTTTAGGGACCTTCATCTGTCCCCAAACAGAAACTGTGCTGATCCCCAGTAGACTCCATTCACAACCCCCTCCCACCCTGGCAGTCAGAGGTGCCACCAATCAGTCACCAACCCAGTACCCACCGATGGACCTTTATGTGTGATCGGGTTAGCTGTTGTCATTCGCTGGAAGCATTCGCTCTTTCCCTTCTTTCTTAGTTTCCCTCTGTCCTCTCCTTTCTCTCACATCCCTCCAGCCTTCCTTCCTTCTCTTCCTTCTTCCCAACTCCTCCCTCTTGCCATTTTTTTTCCCTCTCCTGTTTTTCTGCTTTTCTTCTTTGCTTTGTTTTAAGTGTCTTTTATTAATCTAGGCTACTTCGGTTCTCTCCCTCTCTCTTGTCCACACTAGCTTAAAGCTCACAATCGTCCAGCCTCAGCCAGTCAATTGCACAGACTAAGGGCCTTTGCCAACACTCTGTCTCAGCACACTTGGTTATGTTTTCTCTCAAGCTACACGGTCCCCCTGGGAAAGGATGAGACACTTGGCGAGGGGTAAGCATTGACAGCTGGCTGAGAGCCCAACACAGAGGAAGAATCTGGGCTTTTCCGAGTGACCCAGACCCATCGCTGTCCACGCCAGCCCCGCTAGAGTGAGGATCACTGTTCTAGAAACCATCTGCGCAAGTTTGTGAGTCAAATGACTTCACCATTAGCTTCTTATACTACTCCTAACCTAAAAACCTCAGAGCCTCTGAGCTGACAGCCTATGGCTGTCTGCAGCCAACATACATTCCATTCCCATTTCATGGAAACGCCTTTGTTTGTGGGCAAAGATCCAAACAGGCAAAACACTTCCTTTGTTGAATTGCATTCAAAATCACTGAGTAGCAATCACAGTGCCATGGGAGAGCTCAGTCTCCCTCCCCGTTCCGTCTCCACCCCTCCTCAGTTGTTTCCAGACAGCTGCATTATTTGGCAGCCCTGAGAAAGTCACTTAGGAACTCTGGCTGCTCCCATAGCTGGGAGAACCACGTCCATGTTGCTGTCTGCCTGGATGACAAGGGGACATGGCGAGGAGGTACAGGGCACGCACACACTGCACACAGATCTCATTCTGTCCACAAATGGTCAGGCTGTGGTTCTTAATTCTCTTCCCCCTGAAATAACAATAGATTAGAATTCTCCTGAAACCTGAATCAAGGTGACCCTGTATTCTAGTCTATCTGTGTCACCCACCCTGGCCTCTTTCTCTTTGAAGAAAAAGTTCAAACACAGGGACGAGATCTGGACTCAGAGGAGATTAACATGTCTGGAACACATCACTTGACACACACAAAAACGGTGTTGGCCAAAGACTCATGATGCCTCGTTTTAGTAGCAATGCCTGCTGCTGCACCACCCAATGGACACAGCAAACGGGAGGCTCATAGCACTCACAAACCAGAAACCCCAAGAGGGTGGCAAGAAATGTGTTTGGGAAGACGATCCAAAATTGCCAAAATTCAGCACCACTGCCCTCGCCAGAAACGTCGGAATGTGGTTGACCTGTTTGCCATGTTGCCTGGTTTGCCGTTGCTGTCTCTATGTCTGGAGCCCGGGGAAATGAATGCAGGGCACACACCAAGCGCAGGTCACAGGTGTGGCCAGCGAGGCTCTGGGAAGACGCCTGCCTTGCCAGCCAGCTTCAAAGTGGCAGAGTGGACCTCAAGTGTGAGCCATCCGGCCTGAATCTGGGCAGCGCGGTCCCTGGACCCGAGCTTCAACACCAGGGTGTTGCTGATGAGATTCAGAACAGGACAGGCAATGGCATGACCCAGGGCTGGGCTGTGAGTGTCTTCCCTGAGTGAGCAGCCCTGCTGGAGGAGAGGGGAGCCAGGCGCCCCTGCTGCTGGGCAGCACTGCATTCCACAGCCCCTCCCCTCTGAGAGAGAGAGACTGCATCTGGAGAACTCTGACAGGGCAGAGGAGGGACAGAAGCCTGGGCGCTGTCCTAGAATCAGGAACCCTTCCTTCTTGACAGTACTTCCAAGCACCTTTGTGGGACACAAGAGACTTCCCAGCAGAGCCTCTTCTCCTCTCTTAGTAGGACCACAGTCTTGCACTGAGAGTCTCACAGCCTGTCGGGACACAGGCAGCAGCATAAACTGCTCAAAATGCCGAGTGGCACATCCCGAACTCTATCTTCTATGAATCAAAGGACGACCCTGCCCTTCGAACAGCATTCCTGACAGAGCAGACAAACTTCACAGGGTATGTCTCTTCTCTCACGTCAGACAGCTGAACAGGAGGAGGGGTCGGTGGCTTGCAGCTGAGCAAAAATGTGCTTGCAACCCAACAATCTCAAAGCCATGACCTCTAATTCATCACCAGCAGGAACTGGCCAATGTGCCCCAGAGCTTAGAAATCACACGTGGAAGCAGCAGGTTCCCACCGGACCAGCCAATGGTATAAAGGCCTAACAAAGAGCACGCAAGCTGGGACCCGCTCCCGTCCCTGCCAGCATGGTCCGCTCAGGCTTTTGGAAACGGTTCATTTTTCCCTCTCCTGAAACGTTTGGCTCCATAACAATTATCCCAACACGTTTTGTTCTTTGCGGTGTTTGCACACTCCCTCTGTGTCTGACTTAGGCTCAAGCTAACTGGTAGACAGCAGCTTTGATGTCCTCCTCAGGGACCCAGTGCCCCTCTCACAGATCCCTGCAGGAAGAGCCTCCAACCCCCTCACAGCTTCAGAGCGGGAAGGCAGAACAGCTTTCAGAACTCCAGGCTACACAGGCATGGTAGCTTACTGTCATCCCCGCAGCTGGGAGGATGAGGCAGGAGGATTGCAGGAGTTTGAGGCCAGCCTGGGCTCCAGTATGAAATCTGTCTCAAAAACACAAAACACACAACTGGCAAGAAAGCCAAACCTCTAGGACTTCTGCTACTCGACACGGGCAAGGGTTGTAGGAGTCTCGCTGATACGGTCCATGCTTGGCTGTCTCAGAGGGGAGGCTCCAGTGTCTGCTGCTGCCCAGACACACACAGGCACAGGCGGGCTGCTGGGGCGGAGACGACAAGCATGGAGGACAAGCTGTCACCAGGATATTCTAGTTGGTGGTCTGTGGGCGTTGACTGCAAAGCTCCTTGCATGTTCAGTGTAGGACTTCTTTTTCCCCTTCCTGCCTTCCTTTTTAAAATTTATTTTTATCTTTTTCTTTTCTTGTTTCTTTTGAGACATAGTCTCACTATGTCACTCTGACTGTCATGGAACCCACAGAGTTCCTCCTGCCCCTGCCACCCCGGTGCTGGGATTTTATGCCCTGCTTAGGGTCGACTTTGTGTCCTTTTGTTTTTCCTACTTAAATGGGGTGAGTCCTCTAAGATAGCCAGACCCTGACAGCAACATCCCAACTCCAGAGAGCGCAAGCAGGGCTGGTTCTGGCCTGGGTCCATCCACCAGCCCCATCCTTCCTCCCACCCTCAGTGAGCCCGAAAGGGTAAGAAGCAGGGTCCGCAGAGAGAGGTCTGGATTGCTTAGGTACTGCCAGTACCCACAAGGCCCAGAATACACTCCAAAGGGCAAGTTATGCAAAGGGCCAAGGTCAGGTTCCACCCTGCTCTCTGGGGGACAATGGTCCTCAACCCTTAACTCTGGCTGCAGGCCATCTCTTAAGGCTTCCGGGGTGAGCACAAGCAACCTGCCCTCCAAGACACTCAAGGCAGTTCTGGCATTTTAGCCTCAGCCTGGGACAGTGAAAACAGCTTACTCCATCCTCCCTCAGGCTACAAGACGCTCTGGGCCCCCCTCTGCCCACTCCAATGGGGGAGAAGCACTCTGCCCAGAAGGAAAGACTGCCAAGCTCTGGCGGCACCAAGGTTACCCTGCTCAGGGGCTGGGCTGGGAGCCCACCTAGCACCCTTTCAGCAACGAATAGGCAGACTTGCAACCCCTCCCCCCCCACCTTTACCGATGCCGATGTGATGCGTTCTGAAGCCCAGCAGAGGAAACAAGAGGTGTCCGGAGCTCCACGGGGATAGGAGTTGAAGGAGCTCAGAGGAAGAGCTGAGGAGGAACCACTCTGAGGAGGAGGGGGAGCTGTGAGGAGCCTCAACTCTGAAGGAGGGCACTTTGTGAGGAGGAGAAAGAGGAGGAAGGGGAGGAGAGGGAGGAGGAGCAACTCTGAGGAGGCGGATCCAGTAGTGTTGGGGACACTCTTAGAAGGAGGGGGAGGTATCAGACAGGCGCTTTTCCTGGAGCACATCCTCAAAGAAACATGGGATCTCTGAGCAAGAGGCCTCAGCCTGATAGGAACTGGGTCAGAGCCTTGAAATCTCTCCAAGCCCATTGAGACTTAAATTTAATTGTGCTCCCAGAGGGGTCAGAGCTTACAGTGGGCCACAGATGATTCTTGGAGACACTGAAGACAGGGGGAACTGCAGTGAGCATTTAAAAAGCAGTATAGAAAAGCATCCATCCTTTACAAACAAGGGAACCATGATGAAATAAAGAATTAACTTCCTATCAGAGACCATGGAGAGTGGAAGACAACAGGATAAGACACGCATATCCTGAAGAATGTCATCCAGATTTTCCTTGTCAAGAAAAAGAAAATTATCCTTCAGGAATTACGTAGAAATTAGAACATTTCCAGATAAAAAGTTGAAGGAAATCATTAGCAGAGGACTTGCCTTACAAGGCGCAGTAGAGGGGGTTCTCCAGGCTGAAATGAAATGGTACAAGCCAGTTACCTCAAAACCACGGAAAGAGCACAGGGCAGGTAACAACACAGTGAGTTAAAGTGTCGGCATGCTTCAGGGTTGTGACCCCTCTGCTTTTGCCCGGATGCCTGAGCACATCAGTGCACAGACACCAATTACAAACCTGTGTTCATGAGGAGAAAATGTGTAATGTGCCAACAGTGGCAATAATAGTCTAGCGGGGAAGGGAAGGAGAGGAAATGCTCTCTCTGTGAGAGAGAGTTGTTGTTCACATGAGAATTTTGTGGGTGTGAGGCCTTGGGGACACCTGGGAGCTCCCTGCCAGCGATTCTGGAGTGTGCAGTGTGGCAGAGGCAGCTGGGAGGACCCGGGCTCAGCATGGAGGAAGATGAGGACTGAATCCCAGGAGCTGTCCTCTGACCTCTGCATGGGTTATGCTCATGTCCCCAACATGTACACACCCCTAATAATGAGCATTAAAGGATGCTGACTTAGTCCCCAAGGTAAATAATGAGAAACATTTAGAAAATGGACAAAAATGAAAAGAGAAGCAAAGAAGAACACTGAGAATATCAAAAAGTGTGGAAAAGGCAAACATGGAGGGATTATGGTGAAGATCAAAGGAATGCAGAAATTGAAACAAGTTCAATGGAAAAGGCAAGTGTCTTTGCTTGCTTTCTCTTGCTGTGGTGCAAATACCTGAACCAAAAGTGACTCTTGGGAGGAAAGGGTTGATTCCAGCTTACACTTCCAGGTCATGGTTCATCTTTGAGGACAGCCAGGGCAGAAGCTGAGGCCGGAACCATAAAGGATGCTGCTGGCTGGCTGCTCCCAGGCTTACGTGTAGCTAGCTTTCTTCTACATCGGGAGCCCCTGCCCAGGGAATGGCACCACCTAGAGTTGACTGGGCCTTCATATGCCAACTAACAATTAAGACAGGGCTGGCGAGATGGCTCAGAGGGTAAGAACACTGGCTGTTTCTTCCTAATGGCCCTGAGTTCAATTCCTATCAATCATATAGTGGCTCACAACCATCTATAATGAGATCTGGTGCCCTCTTCTGGCCTGCAGGCACACATGCAGTCAGAAGACTGTATAAATATTAAAGAAGATCTTTTAAAAAAGCAACTCCAAATGGGACTGGAGAGATAGCCCACTGGTTAGGAGCACTGGCTGATCTTCTAGAGGACCCAGGTTCAATTCCCAGCACCCACAGAGAAGCTCACACCTGTCTGTAACCCCAGTTCTAGGAAACCTGGCACCTGGCAGATATAAATGCAGGCAAACCAGCAATGCACATAAAAATAAATAAATCTTTAAAAATTGAAATAAAGATAACCCCCCCCCCCAAAATGCCCACAGGTCAATACGGTCCAGACTTCTCTCAACTGAGACTCCCCACTCAGGTGACCCTAGACTGTCACATTGACAGCTAAAGCTAAGAGAGCAAGTTTTCCTGTCAGTAAATAATTGAAGTGCAACTTTTATTGAGAGCAGTGACGACAAGTTGGTTAAGAAATGAGATTCAAAAAAAAAAAGAAGAAATGAGATCCCTGTGCATGATGGTTTCAAGAGGTCATCAACTAAAATGAAATTTAAAAGTTGAAATTAAGTCTGGAAAGATGGCTCAGAGGCTAAGAGCACTGGCTGCTCTTCCAGAGGTCCTGAGTTCAATTCCCAGAAACCACATGGTGGTTCACAACATCTATAGTGAGATCTGGCGCCCTCTTCTGGCCTGCAGATGTACATGCAGACAGAACACTGTATACATAATAAATCAGTCAATGAATTCTTTTTTTAAGTTGAAACTAGAAAGATAGGAAAAGATATCAATGTAGAAGGTAACCAAGTTGAGGTGGCTGTGTTGCAGTCTGCGTAGATGACTAAAAGCTTAGGCCAGGAAGAAACTATGAAAATTACAAACGCACTCTCTCAGCACATAAAGACGATGTTAGTCAAGGACAGACGGTATAGACCCTCCCATCACAGTCAGCTCAGGTCCTGCAAATGCCCGCAGGGTTTGCACAGAAACGCGATGTGAAGATCACGCGGTTCTCACACCTACTGCATCCTCAAGTGACACCTGCCTGTGTGTGGGAACAGGAGACACCAAACTAGAGGGGGCAAAAGGGAAAGGTCCGAAGGAAGAAAGAGCAGCACAGCAGCCGCTGAGGGCTTGATACCTCTCAGCAGTGGGTAGGAAAACCACCCAGAGGCTCCTCAAGGAAATTCTGGGTTCGAACCAGTTAGTGCAGGACTGAGAGTCAACTGGACCTGGTACACCCAGCAGGACTCAACAGCCTCAGTGTGGGCACAATTCCAAGAGCACGGGGTCGGTCTCCTGGATGGACACGTGCTCCACCAAAGCCACTTTCAATGCCATTTAAAAGCTGGAGTCTTCTGCTGAGCATGGTGGCACAGGCTTGAGAGCCCAGCAGCAGGAAGGCTGCAGCAGGAGGATTGCTGCAAGTCTGGGGCATCCAAGGCCAGCCTGGGCTACATAGTGAGACCCTGTGTCAAACATTTTTTTCTTTTGTTTCATATTAATTACAGTTTATTCACTTTGTATCCCAGCTGTCGCCACCTCCCTCATCAAACATTTTTTTAAAAGTTCACAACCAGGATCTTTCCTGCCTCTGCAGAATTTGGGTATAAATGTACAGTTCAGGACAAGCTTGTGAAAATGAGCAACAACATTCTCAAACAACCAGAGGGTCAATATGCAAATGAAATCAGGTCACAATCTGAGGTGAATGAAAACAACACAATTTGCAAAAGCAAACACACCCTTCCCCCCAAACACACACACACACACACACACACTAAAGGTTGGAGTGTGGCTCAGAGGTAGAGCACATGCCTAGGAAGCAATAGACCCTGGTTCAAACCTTAGCACAGCAAAAAATAAAGAATTAAAGTTAGAGGAGAACTGGGTGGAGACTAGGGAGGAAGAGAGAGAGGAAGGAGGGAAGGATGGAGGGAGGTAAGTAAGAGAAAAGGAGAAAGGGAAGAAGAGAGAAGGGAGGGAGGGAGCTCCCTGGCCAACAGTGATGGAGAGGAGGCTACCAAGTAGAGACAGAGCTCCTGTAAAGCACTTGTTCAGTGTGTTTGAGCCAGGGTTCAAAGGCGTCACCTCTATGTATTAGGATTTCCATTCCTCCCAGGCAAGTAGAGCACACCTTCTCTCGTCACTCAGGGCTGTGGGTCTTTAACGCTGGACGGTCAGAGGACCGTGGCTGGAGCCATGGTATGTCCAAGAGGACCACAGGTAAGGTAGAGGAAGGCCTCTATCTATGAGCAAATGTATGCGTGAATGCCCATAAATATACGTATACACACATATGCACGCACACACATACACACACACACATAAGCACGCAGGCACACAGAAAGTTAAGGATGCTCAAGGAGGTAACTGTAAACACAGGCCACAGCAGCATCATCCATTCAGGCTGGAGCAGGAAACACAAGTGTCCACTGACAGATGAGTGGATTAAAAGACAACAAAATCAAGAAGCAAAACAGAACATGAGCTGTATTCTAAGATCCCCAGGGGATGCCCAAACAGCTCCTAGAGACAACCATAAAACATAGGATTTTATTTCTCATTTTTGTTTTGTTTTCCGACAGCTTTCAGGAACTTTATTTTCCTTCCACCTTTTCCCCCTTTGCCCAGGTATCTGCAAAGCTCAGGAACACTCTGTGGTGGCCCCAACCCACTCGGTGGCCTATGCTGTGGGAACAGCTTACCAGACCTCAGCGGCTGGCTGAGCACTCCAGTCTTCACTAGGGAACTGCTGGATGGGCACAGAGGGCACCTGAACATCCTCAGGCCAGGCTGCCACCTCAGGCTGAGCGGCAGTGAACTCAGTAGCTGGCGCAGTCCATTCGCCCTGGAATTCCTCGTTGGTCAAGGCCTTCTCAGCAGCAGCCTGCTCCTCCTACTCAATCACCTCCTTGTCTCTGTAGAAGTAAAGATCAGGCATAACCTCCCTCGGGGGCTCATGGGAGATAGTGCCACGCATGCACAGTACTTCCCGGCCAGCATCCACCACATCAGACCCCCTGAGTGAGCTCCCTTCTTGTTGCACAGGATGGCAATGTCCACATAGCAGAGGGGAATCTGTTGCACAGAGCAATGGTGGTCAGGTTGACCTAGGAGGCCTCGGTGAGGGGCTGGTGGTCAGCCCTGGGATCAGTCAGCACCAGAAGCCATGGTTCCCTGAAGGCCACTTGGATCCAGTTAGTGCAGGTCCTGGGTGTGAATCGGCCAGCAATTGGAGTGGCTCCAGTGGCAGCCGCAAAGTTCAGCAGAGTTCGCTGGCCAGTGTTCCTGGAGGAGATGACACTGACATCAGCAGGGTCCTCAATGGCAACAAGAGCCTGAGCAGCAAGCCAACAGTGTCTCCCAGGTCCTCTTCAGTTTCTGATGTAGATACCATCACTCTTCCTTTTGTAGATGTATTGCTCCATCTGACAGTCAAGGTTGGTGCCACCTAAGTGGGTTCCTGTGGCGAGGAATTTGAGGACATCCTCCTCCTTCATCTGCAGGACATCAAGGGCTCTGGACATTGGTAAGTTTTCCCTTTAAGTTACGCTGGGAATCAAAAACAATGCCATTTAGACCGGTCCCTGGGCAGCTCGGGGGGGAAAAAAAAGCTTATTCCTCGTGTATCTTAGTTTAATCTGTGTGTGACCGCCAGACGTGTGTGGGAGCCTGGTGCCCCTGAGGCCAGAAAAGGATGTTGGATACACTGGCACTGGGGTCTTGTGCCCATGAACCTCCAGTGCAGGTGTAGGAGATGGAACTTGGGCTCCCCGGATGATCAGTAATGGCGATCATCTGAGCCATCTCCCCAGGCCCTAGTGTGTAAAGATGTATACATACCTGAGGTGTTCGTTGTAAGTCAGGCAAGGTAAGAGATTAATAACTAATGACAACTGTCACAAACAAAAGACCCATGGAAGTTCTTCAGATGTGGAATCTTTCTCTCAGCTTTCTCACCGTGCCCTCATAATCCTACGTGACAAGCCTCGGGGTGACACAAGACCTGCAGACGAGCTGGACCAAGGAGAAGGAGCACTGTGCGCACTGTGACACAGCGTGAGGACAGCGTCACCTTCCGCCCTGAACACGAGGACTGAGACACTACAGAGGCAGGTCCAGTAACACAGACTCCTCCATGTCCCTAGTAGCATGAACAAGTGGCCCAAGGACACCCCTCGTGTCCCCAGCATGAGTGGGACGGGGAAGAAGACTGGAGCTTTAGTGAGACTCCCTCAAACAGTGCACAGTTGAAGATCTGCAAATGGCTCCTTTCTGGAATTTTCCGTGGACTGCTTTGGACCGTGGTGATCACTGTAATTGAAACCAGGGAAAGACAAGCGAGCTCTGGCTGAGCAGGGTTCATTCGCACAGTTGGGCTTTAAAGAGCCAGTGTGATGCCTGCTGGACGGGAAGGAGGCTTGACGACTTAAGTCAGTCACAGAGAGACCGTGCGTGAGCGCACTCTGTCAGCTCACAGAAACTGAGGCGGAATGATGGGCGCCAGCGTTGTGCAGAGGAGAGCGAGGACAGCTGCTGTCGTGGGGTGCAGGGCTTCATGTCAGCAGATGAAGGGGTCTGGGGAGGGGCTGCAGGGGGGGCGCACACTGGGAATGACTTGCACCACTGAGCTGAGTGCTGCAAATGGAGAGGTCCTCCTGGGGGAGGCGCCCTGGAGTGTGCTGGCTGAGTGCATAAAGGCCTTGTGATCAGTTCCCAGCACCAAGAGAAATAAAACTGTCAGGCTGGTAAATATTCGTAAAAGTTTTTATTTCCTCAGATTTAGGGGGTGGGAGGGGGTGAGATGAGAGTCAAAACCAAGTTTTAGTAATACACGGCTTGGGGTGAGCCCAGAGTAGGTCTATCCCTAGACCTAGGCCTGGAAGCTTCTAGCCTTTGTACAGTCTAATTTTCTGCAAGCCCAGACCTTGAAGGCTTCAGCTTCCAGGCTCTGCCTGCCAACCTAGGCCTAGAGCGTTATAGCCTCGGAGACTTACTGCTGAATTAACTCGCCCTTTCTAGTTCTTTCTGAACTCTGGCTGGTGGTTCAACTCAGCTGTTTTGGCTCTAAACTCCTCTCCAAGCTGACTGACTCAAACTGGCTTCTTGGTTCCTGACTGAATTGCTCTGTTTGGAAAAACTGCCTCTGAACTTCACAAGCCGATGCATGGACTCAACCACACTCAGCTGAACTGCACAGAACTGTGTTGTACCGATGACACCGGAAGTTCTACAACCCTGAACTCTACTGTACCCCTGTACAGCACACCCCTCCACTGTACTGCCCGTTCTAAATGCCTAACGTTCTCTCTGCGCTGCTCTTAAGCTCTCCGTTTGTCCGTCTGTCTCTCTGTCTGTCTGTTGGGCATATCCTCTTTCTACTCATCCAGCCAAATCAGGGTCTGATGCAACCCTTTCTGCCCTCCAATTACAGGTCAATGTTTGGGATTAAAGGCCTGTACTGAAGGTATGTCTGTATTCCAGCCAGAGCGATTAAAGTTGAGTACTAAGGGCGTGTTTGTATTCAGCCGGATCCCACAGACCTAGGTCTTTGGATATGATCCCTTGCCAGAAAAGACATGTTCCTGGATTAAAATTCCTCTACAAATGTTAGTGAGGCCTACCCAAAATGGAACTGAAATCTGCTCTGACAAGCATGTGGATTTGCTTTGTATGGTGAGGAGCAAGTCAGGGCAGTAGAGTGACCTCAGCTTGGGGAGTTCTGTCCTGCACATTCCAGGTCAAGTGCTTGAATCCCATCAGGCCGTGGGAGACCTTGCCTGAGAGGCTGGAACATGCCAATAGCAGCGTCTCTGCTCTGCTGGGATGAGGCCATGTGGAACCTTTGATACCACAACAGGGGTTAGGCAGGTGGCTCTGTATGTGTGAGTCTGACTTGGAGGGTGTGGAGACTGGGGTCAGCTGTGTGGGTGCCCCGTGTCTATGGGACCCACCAAACCCCTGGAGAGTGAGGCTCGGTGACCTTCCCTGTGAGCAATGTCCTCAACCTGAGTCACTTGACACATCTGGCAGACAGCTGGGCCTGTGCCAGCCTCCCTGAGCTCTGCTGTCAATTTGGCTGCTGCAGCTCTTCTTCTCTGTCGTTTCTCTGCAGTCAGCACTGTGAGGACAACAGCCTTCCCTGCTCTGGGAGCCTTTCCAGGCTCTCATGGCGCCTTAGTCTTGGGGACCACTCTGCCTGTGTGGTCCAGACAGGAGTAGCAGTGTCTTTTAGCATAAGCCTGTTACATGTGTCCCTGAAACCCATAGAGTCCTGGCCTCTGCCTGCAGTTTGTCACCACTGATGGGTCTTTATGGGAGGCTGTGGTCGGCCATCACTCAACATCAGTGTGCCTCTTCATTCTCTTCCTTCCTCCTCCCTCCATTCCTCTTTCCCTTTCTGTCCTTCTTCCTTGTGAATTGTCTTCCTTCTCCTCGTCCTCTAAAGCTCTGCTTTAGTTTTTCCAGGTAGAGTCTCCTTGCTTGTATAGTCCAGGCTGACATAGGTCCTGCTGTCTATCCCAGGATAACTTCACATCCATGGTGCTCCTTTTTAAGCTTCCACATTCTGAAACTGCAGTGTCGTGCCAATGCTCCAAGCTCAGCACCCTCTTTTCTCCCAGCATTTAGGCTGTTTCTTGGGAGGGTCGGGTACGAATGAGGAGGCAGGCAGTAAAGATTTGTTGGAGACAGCTGTGTGAGGATGCAGCAGAGACAGGGATTGAGGAAACAGCAGGAAACAGCGGCAGCCACAAGACTGGTGCATTGTGTGTAGCTCAGCCTGTGCTGCAGAGCAGACTGGAACTAGTGCCCATCATAACACAGAGCTGGTGGGGAGGGGAGGAAGCGGGCAACTGGAACAGCAAAGATGCATGGTCACTGGGCTGGGGCTGTCCATCAGGCACCGAGAAGCTAAAGTGCTGCAGGAGGCAGGTGAAGAACAAGAAGAGCTCCATGGGAACGAAATTGATAAAGGGCAGCCTTGGCCTTAAGAAAGGTGTTGGTCCCTCCTGGTAACCAAATACATGACAACCTCAGAAGGGCCTGTAGGAACCCTGGCTTGCCAGTCGATGAGTGGGAATTGATTTCCCAGGTCCTGTGACTTCAACCCAACCCAGCACCAAACCCTTACCTGCAAGAATGAGGATGGGCGGCAGTGTGCTATGTACAGGAATCTAGAAGGGAAGCACTACTGAATGAGACTGTGAGTTCTCTGGCCTCATTGTGGCTTGGGCTGTTCATCCTCATTTTTCCAGGCCCTAAGGCCTACTCCACCATGATATAAGCAGGCAAAATCTATGGAGGAACACATCTCAGCTGAAATAGGGCTCAGGCCAGACTCTCTGATGCCTGCCAGGCGTGACTGCACGCCTCAACCTATTCCTTCCAAACTTGCCAGACTTGCAGTGTGGTGCAAACAAGGAATGCCCGCATCCCTCCTTTCTTTCCATAACTCTATCTGGCTAAGAGGGCATGCCCAGTCAGAGAGGAAGCAGCAGATTCTGACCTTGGCTGGGCAGCCACAGTTGCTCATTTCATGTCCTCCAACACTCCTCCAAAGCCTCCTTGCTCTGGACTCCAGATCACATGACTAAGTTTGGACTAATGTCTCCCAGCCAGTCTGCTCTTCTGGAACACAGAGAGCACGTATACACACACATCCAGCTCCCACGACTTGACCTCCCATGCTGCTCTCTCTCTTTCATATCTGCTTCCTTCCTGACTTGGATCTGACTGTGAATTTCAGAAATTACACCACAAGAGTCAGGGGCTGGGGGAGAGAGAACACAGTTTTCTCTGCTTCTTAGGTCCAAGCAGGACTCTCTTGTCACTTAGGGAAGGTCACAGGGCCACATAAATTTACCTTTCTTTCTGGCAGCATTGACCAAACACCATTTTCAGTCTCGGAAGAAGAGAGGGTCAACAGTCAGTGGAACACATAGGTCTGAAAGCCTAGTGTTTCATCTGGTGTCTGGCAGGGAAAGCCACAGATTGCAGGGGACATAAGGCAAGATTCTCTATGCAGAGACCAGGCAGGCATGGTTTACAAAACACAGCTGCAGACAAATTTATCAGGAGCTTGGACATGCTTAGGAATTTCTCCATGGGTCTGTCCCACCATCAGAAAACAAAATAAAACAAAGAAACAAACAAAAAACCAAACACAAAACTAGTTTCAATCACCCAGTGCTGAGGAGGTAGATCCTAATAAATTAAGATGGGGAGGGGGGAAGATTATAATTATTTTGTTTAATTTTTGAGACAAGGTTTCTCTGTGTAGCCTTGGCTGTCCCGGAACTCAATCCGACTCAAGGAGCTCTGCCTGCCTCAGCCTCCAGAGTGCTGGGACTAAAGGAGTATGTCACCACACCTGGCAGGGGTGGGTTGTAATTGTTAGGTCTCAAACAGAGGACAAATGAATGGCTTAGATGCCATTATCTTTTCCTTCTGGCTTGTGTACTACTGGGCCTCCTATCCTAAACTTCTCCAGCAGGGGCTGGGCTGCCCTTTCCTATATAATCCAGCCATTTGGCTGCACTGGTCTTTTTTTATCCTTTATCCTCCTGCCCTTTTGGTCTCCTGTCCCTTCCCTCTGAGACCCTCCCAACTCTCCTCACCTGGCCCAGCTCAGGGTCCACTCTAGACTCTCCCAGATGCCCCTGCCTCTACCTATACTCTCCCTCATATCTACAATAAACCTCCTCCTATTACCTAAGAGCTGTCATATCCTTCTTTTACGTATTTATTTTCCATTCAGCAATAAATTTTTAAAAAGCACAGGCCTATTAAACATATGGTATAAAATGTCCTTGGGAACAGGTATAACAGTAAATAAAAATGGTTAAAATTACCAACTAGGGGCTGGAGAGATGGCTCAGAGGTTAAGAGCACTGGTTGTTTTTCCAAAGGTCCTGAGTTCAATTCCCGGCAACCACATGGTGGCTCACAACCATCTCTAGTGAGATCTGGTGCCCTCCTGTAGCATGTAGGTGTACATGCAGGCAGAGTACTATATAAATAATAAATAAATAAATCTTTAAAAAAAACCCAAAAAACTACCTACCAAAAGCCAGGCAGTGGTGGCGTATGCCTTTGATCCTAGCCCTTCGGAGGAAGAGGCAGCTAGAGCTCTGTGAGTTTGAGGCCAGCCTGGTCCAGGACAGCCAAGGCTACACAGAGACACCCTGTCTCAAAAAAAAAAAAAAAAAAAAAAACCAACCAAGAGTTTAGCATGTTTCCAGTTTTACGTAGCCGTTAAAAATAATGTGGGTGTAGGTACACACCTTTAATCTCAGCACTCAGGAGAAAGAGGAAGATGTGTCTTTATGAGGTGAAGGTAAGCCTGAACTACATAGCAAGTTCCAGGCTAGCCAAGGCTACAAAGCTACATAGTGAGACCCTGTCCCCAAAATAAAAATAAAAATAAAAATAAAAACAACTTATCATCCTCATTATCTTCATCATGATTAAAGGCACAGTGAGGGTGATTTTCTGACCTCCTTAAGGGGGGCTTTTGTCTGAAACCCCACATTCGCGTCACTAGATGCCACTGTAAAGTCTAGGTCTCCGATGCTAGATGGACCCAGGGTCAGCTGCCCGTATTCCAGAGATGACTTCAGATCCTCTCTGTAAACCTTCAGCCCCACCTCGGCTCCAGGTTTTCCGTGTCGCGAGAACACCATCAGCGAGCATCTTCCTTCACTTTCCCACAGGCCCGCTCCTCTTCAGGTGGCGGAAGTGACCCCTCGAAGGCTCCTGCACCCCATTCTCTCTGGCCTTCTCTTCTCCCCCTTGCGTATTGCTGTATTGTTTCCCCCTCTCTCCTGGCTCATTTCCATCACCACTGAAACAACCACAAATCCCTCCCGTGAAAAAAAAGTCTTCTCTTGAACCCAAGAGCCTTTTCAGTTAGTTCCCTTAACGTCCTGCCCTACACAGCAAAAAGCTCAAGCCAGGGGCGCTTTTGTGATCGGTCAGAGACTTCCAGCCAATCCGAGAGCCCCAATCCAGCCGACCCGCCCACTCGGATCCCGGAAGGCGCGGCGTCGCGTCCCGAAGCACGGCGCGTGCGCGGGCCGAGGGGGCGGGGCTTCCTCGGCAAGATGGCGGCCAGCGGCCTTCGCCAGGCTGCTGCCGCCAGTACCTCGGTGAAGCCCATTTTCAGTCGCGACCTGAACGAGGCCAAGCGAAGGGTGCGCGAGCTCTACCGCGCTTGGTATCGGGAGGTGCCGAACACCGGTGAGAGGCAGGGGTGCATTGAGGGCCCCGGAGGCACCTGGCGTGCTGAGGTCACCGACTAGGGCAGAAACGACCCCTGGGTTTCGGGGAAGGGGGTCACGCAAGCCACAAGTGCCCCACACCGGGTCAGAGCTTCTGAGCGCCCTGGTCGCTTTGGTGGCCTTTGTGACTGTATTTCTTACGGAGCCCCTGGGAGGGGAGAGCTGAGACTCTGAGAGACGAAGTGACGCGTCCGTGGTCCAGAGCTAGCCCCGGCTAGCTGGAAGCCAGGGTCAACCGTACAGTGCCAGAAAAAAGTTCCAGATGCTCTTGGATTTTGTAACCAAAGTGGCGAAGGACTTGAGCAGTTAGCCATTCCCCACTCTGCGGTACAAACCGCACCGTAAGAGGAAAACGACTTGGCCAAGGTCATCCAGTAGCCTCCAGGCGAAATGGCCTCTCAAGTCTCCCTAACCCAGTGTGCTCCAGTATTTTGAAGTCTAACCCCGACTGCTACAGAACACCTCTTTTCCCTTAGATGGTGGAGAATCCAATCTGTTACCTGAGTACTGAGTCTGAGTCTGTTATCTTGATATCTTCCTCCCAGTACAGTGGATTTTAAAGGGGAGGGAAACCGAGTCCAGATGTCGTAAATCCAGGGACGTATGTTGTTGAGTAGACATAACGTTTAACTTGGACCACCACAGTTGATCAGAAGGGGGAAGGCATTTCCCAGTGAGTGACAGCTCTATGGCACATCTCAGCGCTGCTGAGAAGGTAACAGCACTTTTCCTCAGGTTCTGCCTTTATTAGCTCCGGTAGGATTTATCATCAGTGCTGTTTGCTCATCTGTGGAATGGGCATGATACTGTCTTCTTCAGGGAGCCAGTGTATTAGATAGGTTATTATAGTAACTGACATAAAACTTGGGGGAGGCACTGATGAGATTCCTCAGAGTTCTTAGGCCCACATGTACCTGAGAGCAGCTATACAAAAGTGGGCACTTCAGTCTCTAGGCCTGCTGCTTCCAGGTTCTGTATCAATTTGCGTTTGTTTTAGTACCTTTGCCATTTTACAGTTTTCTGTGTGGCTGACCTTGGTGACCAGCTGAGAACCTAAATTTGTAGTTTACCATTTCGGTGGTCAGTGAATTTGAGTATAATGAAAAATTCAAACTTGATTTAGACATGGCATGAGTGTGTGTGTGTGTGTGTGTGTGTGTGTGTGTGTGTGTGTGTGTGCGTGTGTGTGCGCGCGCACGTTTTTTTTCTGAGACAAGGCTTCACTCTGTAGCCCTGGCTGGCCTGGAACTTGCTAAGTAGACCAAGCTGAACTCATAGAGATCCATCTGCCTTTGTGTGCCACCATTCTGGGCTTGTTTTTGGTTTTGTTAGGATTTTGCCTCAAATCTTTAATCAGCCTGAGTTCCTGATGCTGGGATTACAGGCATGTGCCACCGTGGCTGGCTGGTTGCAGTAGTTCTGTAGATCAGAATGGACAAGTCACAAGGCCAGCTGAAGCACAGGGCATCCCCATTAAATAAATACACTGATCTCTAACCAGGATGCCTATAAAGCCTTGATATTCTCTCTTAGCCTGTATGCTTTGGTCACCTTTCCATTTAACCCCTAGCGGTCCTTTTGTGTCCGTGATGTCATTAGCAAATCTGCTAAAGGCTGAGTGTCGGGGATAAAAATGACTAAAGCCTGATTTTCTTTCTTTTGAAACAAGGTCTTGCCATATATCCATACTACCGTACCGCGCCAGGCAGACCTCCAACTTGTAGGCTGGTTTACAGGCATGTTACCCTCACCAAGTCCAGTTTACAAACTAGTCTCCAGGGGACACCCATGTGTACATCAAGTTCAGTTTGTGCCAGTGTTCTAGCCACTGATATAATGCATTGCTAGGTAGTGTGATTTTTTTAAAAATATATTTTATTACTTTTAATTTTGTGTATGTGTCCAGGTAAATGCAAGTGTTGGCAGAGGCCATAAGCGTGCATGGATTTCCCTGGAGCTGGAGTTACAGGTGTTTTTTAAGTTGCCTGGTATGGGTGCTGGGAATTGGAACTGAGGGTCCTTTGGAAAAGCAATATGTGCTCTTAACTGCTGAACCACTTTTGTAGACCTCCACCCCTTTTAAGGGAAGAAAACAAACTTTATTATGTTTGGTTTCAGGGCCTTCTATGAGGGCGGGGGGTCTTATGGTTCCATGATGGCAGCAGTGTGTCTTGTTTGCAGTCAGAGATGACTGTCTCAATCTCAATTAAGGCCTAGAGATGTGAAGCTAAATCTCAAGTACCTCTCCTTCCCCCAGGTAGTCTGATTGATTAAAGCCTTCTCACCACACAAACCCATAACAGTACCCCTCAGCTCCCAAATACCTATAATACTCACAAACCTATACTCTATTATTTTACACAACTTTTCCACTCTGGTGTCTTCTTTTGCTGGTTGTTCCATATAAAAATAATATGGCAGGGCTATTCGTCAGTGATAGAAAGCCCTAGCTTCAACCTCAGCCCTTTCCTCCCAACTCAAAGTAGGTGGGCGCCCCTCTACTACTAGTCTCCGGAGTCCCAGTAAAGAGACTTGAGCTCCAGGCTGGGCAAGAAAGCAAGACCTGTATCTGGGCTAAGGGTTGGTTGGGCTATGTGGCATGAAGTGAGCGAGCCATTCGTACGTGTTCAGTAAACACACACTGCCATAAGCTTCCTAAAAGCGTGCGTAAGTGGTCTAATTTCTACAGCGGTATTTTCTCTTTAGTGCACTCATTCCAGCTGGATATCACCGTGAAACAGGGACGGGATAAAGTCCGAGAAATGTTCAAGAAGAATGCCCATGTCACAGACCCCAGAGTGGTTGATCTCCTGGTCATTAAGGTAACTGACCCTCTCTGACACACTTAAAAGATCTGCCAGCTTGTCCTGTGCTTCTGAGTCTTCAAGTAAATGCTACCTCCATTAAAAGATGGCTGCTGACTCAGCAGCTGTTGCTGTTTCATACTTCAACCTGGAGGACCCTATTTCTTTTATTTTTAAAGCCAATGTCTCACTATGTAGCTCTGGCTGGCCTGGAACTTGCCATGTAGACCAGGCCGGCCCTGAGCTCCACCTGCCTCTGCTCCCAAGTGCCAGGATTAAAGGCGTGCACTACCATACTCCACTTGGAGGGCTCTACCTTGAGACAGGGTCTCACGATGTAGCCTGGGCTGGAACTAGACATCCTCTTGCCTCAACCCCCAATAAGCTTACAAGATTACTGAAGGGGAAGCCTGCTGGGATCTGCATTCCATAACTTTAACAACATAAAGCAGGAAGTTGGAGTGCTTGTGGGATGCCACCATGGAAGTTGCCGTCTCACCTGTATGCTAACCACCAGAAGGCAGGATAGCTTGGGATGTGGTACAAATGAGGTCAAATTGTGGCCCTTGTGTTTCCAAGGCCTGTTCTCTTCCATCATCAGTAGCTTCACAGCAGACCAGTAAATAACACAGAACTGTTAGGCAGAAACATGAAGTTAAACCAATCATGTTACATAGTCCTGGGACCTGTTGGTCAGTTCTGTTTGAAAGGCCTCAGGACACTTAGTCCCAGTGCCTTCCAGACTCAGAAACTTGCCCCAGGAGAGTTCCTTATCCAGGGTCATTAACAAATCTATGCCACACACAACAGAATACTGAGCCTCAGCATTGTGTTCCTTTGATGGTTGGAACTGACCAGCTCTCCCTTCATGTACACAGGGAAAGATGGAGCTCCAGGAAACCATTAAAATATGGAAGCAGCGGACACACATTATGCGGTTCTTCCATGAAACAGAAACACCAAGGCCAAAGGATTTCCTGTCCAAGTTCTATATTGGCCATGATCCATGAGGTCACCTGATGGGAAGGTGCATGTTATTTATTTTAAGAGTACAAATAAACTCATTATTTGATGGTGGCTTTGTGATAAAATTTCACTGGTAAACTCTTCCTGTGGTCTCTCTCACTTCTTGCCTAAGTGTGTGGGGCCTTAATGTACATGCCATGTTATTTCCCTTCCTCAGAGTGTGCTCTTTGCTGCCGACCCTTGCTTGGGGAAGCCGGAAGGGACATAAGGCTACTTTGTCAGTATAGTTGTACTTATTTATATAGCTTCCAAGATTGGGCATCTTGATGTCAAGGCTCTCCTGTCAGAGGGGACAGAGCAGTACTATAGGGACAATGGTAGAACTGACAAGATGATCTATTTTCCTCTGGAATGTGGCGGCTCCAAGACCTAGACCTGCTTAGAAGCACTGGCCCTTAAAATGAGATTAACTTCCTACTAATTATACAGGGGCACAACTGTTCAAAGCAAATAAAAGAACAAAACTGACATACTACTTCAATGCTTTTTTTTCAAACAGGATCTCACGTAGCCAAGGATAGCTTCATACTGTAGATCAAGGGGTGACCTTGATCTACTAATGTTCTTGCTCCTCCCTCCATCCCTAGACAGTCCTAAATGCTGGAGAAAGGCACTTAGAGTCTTTGGGTTTAATTACTGAGTGACTCCACAGCACCAGGAAACCCTTTTCCCCTAAGGGTCCCAAGCTTTACAAAATACTCTGTTGGGCAGTAACAAAACTGCATGATGGGCACATGGCAACCCCTCCAGGATTAAGGCTTCAGTTAGCCTAAGCGGCTTTGAGGCATCTTTCTGCTGGACTTTACATAAGTTGAAAAGGGGTAGGGGACAGGGATGGGGACCTGGGGGATAGAAGGATGGCTCAGTGGTTAGAAGCACTTACTGCTCCTGCAGAAGACCAGAGTTGGTTCCCAGCACCCATATCCAGCAACTCATAATTACCTTTAACTCCAGCGCCAGGGGATCATATGCCTTAGCACCCACAAACAGATATAGTCAAAAATTATTTTAAAAAATCTTTAGAAGAAAAAAGGGCCTCAATCCCCCTTACTTGGATTTGTGGTTGTATAATAGCCTGGATATCCCAGCTTTAAAGTAGATGCTTCTTGGAAACAGACAACGAAGTACAACTAAGCTTGCTAGGAGTAAGAATGGGAACAACTTTTCAGTCATACACAACTCATTTATTATGTACTTATAATTTGCTTGTTTATTGTTTCCAGTGCTCTGTGGACAGCACATTTGAGGGAAGCTCCCAAAGCACAGGACTCTGGGCTGTTGTCATACCCTGAGGAGGTGAGGCAGAGGGCTTTCCTTGACCCTTCTGCTGACAGGGAAGGAGCTGAGCATGCCACCGATTCCTCTGTTAGTGCTTTCTCCTTTCTGCTCCTCCTTTGAGTCCTATAAGAAAGGCAAGCATCAGGCACTTTTTTTTTTTTTTTTTTTTTAAGACACAGTCTCACTCAGGCCAGAGTGGTCTCATACACGCTGTACCAAGGACGATCTTAACTTCCCAGTGCTGGGATTACTGGTGTGTGCCACCAGGCCTGGGCATTTCTCTTCTGTTTTTCTGAGATACAGTCTTGTGTTAGCCAGGCTATCTTTGAGCTCTGCCTCTACTTCAGTGCTGGGATCACAAAAGCTGGTGATACCACAGCAGGTTTTAGCAATAGTCATTTGAAATAGGAGGGTAAAGGAACACGTGGCAAAGACAATGAAAAATGGATGGAGTTAAGACAGAGTAGTGGAAGAACAATGGGCCAATACTTGGAGATGGGCAAGAATGAGGGTAACTCAGGAAATGACTCCTGGAGCTGAAGAGATGGCTCACAGTTAAGAGCACATGCTGCTCTGGCAGAGGCAGAGTTCACATCCACAAGAAATGGCTCACAGCTACCTGTAACTCCAGCTCCAGGGGGTCTGACAGTCTCCTGGCCTCCATGAGTACTGTATTCACACACATATATACATAAATAAATGTTAAGAGAACCCACTCCAGCATCACCACAGAAGACCTGGCCTCTCAAGATTATTTCCTCCTGTGGTTGAGAATATGGAAGATGAAAATGGACTAGAAGGTATGACCAGAACATGACAAGTATGCCAGGCAGAGAGGCAGAGTGTCCTTGTCTGTGACAGAGGTCTAGCTGTGCAGGAATAAAGCATCACAGGAAGCTGAGAGGGAAGAGCACTCGGAGCCCTGTGAGCCCTGCGGCAGGGAGCACTAGCTGGCCAGTGCACCGTTTAAAGCTGACAGCTAACAGGCCACACACTTTAATCCCAGCCCTGGGGAGGCGGGCGAACTTCTGTGAGTTTGAAGCCAACCTGATAGGTACAGGCGTTCTTGGATAGCCAGAGCTACATAGTGAGTCCCTATCTCAAACCTGACATCAGTGCTGGTTTCCTTTTTAAAAAGTACTTATATGTGTATCTATGTGTGTGGATGCCCACAGAGGCCAGAAGAGGATGTTGGATCCCCTGGAACTGGAGTTACAGGTGACTGTGAGCTGCCCAGAGTGGGTGCTGGGAGTGGAACCTGGGTCCTCTGCAAGGGCTAATAGCTGAGCCATCTCTCCCACTCCCTTGCCAGCTTCTAAATTTTAAACTGTTGGCCCCACTAACCTGGTCAAGAACCGTGGATGCCAATACCTAACTGGTGGTCAGCCTCAGACACCAGTTTCACAGTTCTGTGTTGATTCGTTTGTAAAACCCTGCTGCAAGGTTCCCTGCAGTGTTCTCAGGACTGAAGGTCCTGCTCAGCATCACCTACCCTTTCCCATATTCCCTTTTTACTGAAATCTTACTTTTGCATCCCTTTACCTTGCTTCATGAGTCACTGTTTTATTCCTTCATCTCTGAGGCAGAGGTTGCATGACTTATAAAGCATATTAAATCATCAAGAGAATGTCACTTGACTAAATGAAGGTACATCAAGGGCAAGCAAAAGGCTAGCTAGGGCCTTTACCTAGTGGTAAGAGATAAAAGTGACTCTGTCAGTCAGGTTAGCCCATCCAACACGGGAGAAAAAGAAAGTCTCAAGTGGGTGAACTCATTGCTGCTTCTGCCCTGATCATCCAAATGCTGCTGTAGGCCGCACTGTATCTCGGATCATCTGATCCACCTACTTGTTCCTGTCCATTTACGGGAAGGCAAGTCTTACCTGTTAATCATCATCGTCGTCATCCTCTGGGACGAAAATGTCATGTTCCTCAAGTAGAGCAGCAAAATTCTTGCTAATGAGGGTCCCCACATAGAGAAAGGGGATCACAATGGAGAACACCCGAAGAAGACCAAAGGACATCTGCAGAGAAAGAAGTGCCGTGAGCTCTGGAGAGCTCTGGAGACCCTCGCAGCACACCTCAAGCCCTGCCTCAGGGGCATTTCCTCCAGTGGGCCCCAGATCCAAACACTACTTGTTTTTCAAAGTCTTTGAAAAAAGTCAGAGCAACAAAGAGACAATGTGAGCTTTGTGGCCATCAAAATGGATATCAGAAAGATAAACATAAAGCTAAACTAAATTTAGGAAACTAAGCAATTAAAAATTAAGCCACAACTAGTTAATTCCTTGCAAAAACCATAAAGGATTGGTTGGGTAAGAGCACCAGGATGGCTGGACTGTGATCGGCTCTACACACATAAAAGCGAGTTTCAGGGGCTAGAGAGATGGCTTAGTGGTTAAGAGCACTGCCTGCTCTTCCTGAAGACCTAGGTTTGTTTCCCAGCACCCATAGGGCCTCTCACAAGGAAGTAACTCCAGTTCCACAGGATGCCACACCCTCTTCTGGCCACGGTAGCAATCTGGCATTCAAGTGCTGCACAGACATACATGCAGGCAAACATCTATGCTCATAGAATAAAAAATAAAATGAGTTACAAAGAGGTGTACGGTGAAGAGTTCTGCTAGTTCTTTTTTAATTGGTTCCTGCTGCCTGAGACACTTTCACATTAAACTTTAAAAACATGGGATGCTAGAGGAATGCCAGTGAGATTTTACTAGCATTTACTTTCTGTTTTCCCTAGCTCTGCCTCTTTTGTAGAGCAGCTGCACCTTCCTGCTTCTTGCTGTGAACCCCGACTGCGGTCAACTGTCAGTACAGGTGAGTCTAGCTCTAAAGGATGCTGTTTTCCCTTCAACTCCACACAGGCCTGCAGTCAAAAAGCACACCTTTACTCTCAGGGACTTTCCGTTTTCCTTAGGGGTACTGAGGGCAAGTGACGGAGTTCAGTGGTGGAAAAACCAGAACGTGCTCCCCCTTGTCAAGGTCCAACTGCCGCCAGCTTCGTACGCCTTGATTCACCTGTAAAAACCCTACTGCAGATTCCCTGCACATTTCTCAGGACAGAAGGTCCGGATCCGCGTCCCCACATCCTTTTTCCTTCGTTTTCTTTTTACTACGTGTATTACTTAGTAAATATTCCCTTCTCGCTTTCAGGGTTGTTTTATCCCATCACCTCCGAGGCAGAGATTGTATGACTTGTATAAATCGACACAAAGCCTTTCTTCTGGCCCTGGAGGAACGGCTCATCTGGTCCCTCAAGATAAGACAGCTCACATTCCGCTGCTGCACCCCAGCCCGTGTGTCCCGGAACCCAGCTTAACACTGGGTTTTACGCCTTTTCCTCCACCTGTCAAAGTCAGCACAACCCAACTGAGCAAATCGAGGCTTAGGTCCGCTGCGTCAATACTATGATTGGCCTCCACGTCTGTCAATCATCCCCAGGAACCACTCACTCCCCAAGCGATTGGTCCCAATCTCTTCGCCCCGCCTCCAGGCAGACACTCACTTTCACCGGCTTGGGCAAAATGGCGCCGCTGCGAGTGACGATGACTGACCTCGACGGTACCAGGTTGCGGCCTGAGCTGCCCGGCACGGCATAGACATCGCCACCTTCCCTTCCCTTCGGCCCGCTCCAGAGAGCCCCGGGTCGGACTGCCACCCAGGCCAGCCGGCGAGCCGCCACGGACGCCATCTCCAGCTCCGCCCCTCCCCGGGAGCCACACCCCGCACCGCTGCGGCCTTCTCGCAGAAAGCCTCCTCCAAGCATCGCGAGACTCAAGAAGCGCCGCCCAAGAAGCGCCGCCCTTACGCCTGCGCCACACAGGCATTCCGGTACCGGTGGGGAAGCCCTGAGTCGTGACGTAGGACGTGATGACGTCAGGAGGACGACGCCCCGCCCAGGCTGTAGGGCGGGGCCACCCGTGGCGGGGCTCCCTTTGTAGGTGTCTCCTTCCTCCACACCCACTTCAAACCACCCACCACCCCCTTCCCACGCCCTTGAATTAAGCAACCAAAATGTGTAATGAAAAACTTTACTTGGTATTTGAATTGCTAAAAGAAAACTGTAACAATAAAAGGTTAATAAAAAGCCAGGGGAAGTGGCGCACACCTTTAATCTCGGCACGCAGGAGGATCTCTGTGAGTTCTCCAGCCTGGTCTACAGAGTGAGTTCCAGGACAGCCAGACTACACAGTGAGACCCTGTCTACAAAATACAAAAACGAGTTAACAAGAGCCTCTGTGTCTGTGAACACTCCCACACGGGCGCGGTGGGCAGTGGGCTTCCCATACAGGGCTAGGGAATAAGCAAATAGAGGGACTCCCTTAGCTGCTAGCCTCGGACATCGGCTTTGCAGCTCTGAGTCCTGATTCTTCATTTGTAAACACACTGATTATAAGAACCAAAATGAAAACTTTCCTGAGAGGGTCCCAGTCCAATCTAGCCAAAAGCTTACTGTGTGGTCAAGGGTGCCCTTGAACTCTGCTCTTCCTCTACCTTCTTGCTACCAACCCTGCAAACTTTGCTGTTCTGATTATAAAGGGAAAGCAGGCTTTCCCACCACGTCCTCCTATAAAACAATAACAAAAACAAGTCAGTCTCCTGGAGGCAAAGTTCAACCTTTAGGCCTAGATGGGTTTTGGTCAGGCTGCCCCAAGGCCTCAGATAGGGAAAGAAGGGAGATCGGGAGAGGCAGATTTTGTTTGGGAAGAGGGTGTATCTCTTTACATCTTCTCACAGTCACTCTCACTACACCTATATAAAGGGGACAGATCACCCTGGCTTCTGGCTCTAGACCCAGCCATCTGACCTCTTACAACAAAAGAAAAAGATACTTGAGGTGATTCAGGAGAGAGTAGCCATGAGGGTTCTTGGCAGACAAGCCTTGGGAAACAAGCGGAATAGATGACAGGATCCCTAGGAGTGGCCATGACAACTGCTCAGGCAGAGATTCTCCTGTAAAAGGCTGCCTGCCTCTCTGGAGGCAATGTCCAGCGCTGTACATTGACAGGGTGGCGGTGGCGGGGGAGAGACGAGATCCCTCTTTGGCACCTGAAGACCCTCTCCTACAGGGATCCCTGCCCAAACCATTTCAATGGCAGTCTTAAAGCCACTCCTGTCACCTGTGGCCTTTAGAGATGCCCAAGACTTCTTGTGTTGGAAATAAGGGCTAGAGTGTCCTGCAGGGGCAGGGAGCACAGCCCCTTCCTACATTACGTTCCCATCAGCCACCTGGAGAGGATGTGGAGGTTGGAGAAAGTCTACAGAGCAGGAAGGGGGGGACACACACAACAAAAACAACCTGGTAAATGAGTAAACATTTAACTCCTGAAGTTCTGACCCTGGGATCCCGGCCAGCGGGACAGGGCCACCGTTTAAAAAGGCCCTGGCTCAGGGCCTATTCTGTTACTTGTTCTCTGGCTGGCTCCCCTTGGCCCTTTGCTGCCACCCTTGCCTCAGCTCTATGATTTCCTTCCCATACCAGTCATGCAGAGTAGAGAAACAGGAGGTCTCAGGGGACACGGGGCTCTGTCCCCTGCTTAGGAGGAGGCTGGCAGGGCCCTGTAACTCCCACTCAGTCACATCCCGACCTACTGGCCTGCTCCCCCTTTCTTCCACAGTACCAACAGAGTTGCGCTCCCTGAGGAGAAAGTGGCCATTCTCAGGGCCTGGAGTCCGGCGATCAGGAGCCTGTGACTTACTGCAGCTGGCAACAGCCTTCTGGGATGCACAGTGATGCAAGGCCAGGCTCCTCCGGGCATCCTGCAACTGGCTCTCCAGTTCTCTTACCACAAGTCGCATGTAGCCAAAGCTGGCTCGAGACAGCGCTTTCACCCAGGCCTCCTGGGCAACTTGCCCATCCGCTGCCAGCAGGTGTGGGCGCACTCCAGGGGCATCAAAGCGAATGGCGAAGGCAAACTCCTCAGGCACAGGAGCCTCGGCCAGCTCCACCGTGCAGCCCTCTAACACCACCAGGCTCATCGGGGTCTGGCTTTCTCTACTCTCAAAAGAGAAGAGCAGATTGCCCTTGAGAACAAACCAGCATCTTCGGCCGGTGCCACTGGGAGTGGGTGGAGTCCCTGGTCCTCCCCAAGTACGAAGGAAGCCAGTGTGGTCCGCTGGAGAATCATTCGTCGCATAGTGGGCCACACTCCTCTTGTTCAGCTTCATGGCGTCCACAAGAACAGTGGGTTAGAGAGATGGTAGCACCTCCAGGAGAGGCCCCAGCTCAGACCTGTAGCCCAGTCCTGTGGCTCCTACTGACCATGTTCCCTGCAGCTCTCAGACTTCAGCTGTGAAGAGGTAGTCTTCCTTGCCTTTCATCTCCAAGGTCATTAAGGGTCACCCCCCCAAAATATAACTTGGACATGGGAAAACTGTAACAGAAAAACAGAAAAGGCAATAATTGTAGGAGAGAAATAGCAGGAGCTGACTTGGTGTTTTGTTTGTTAGTGTCTTCTTTAAAGTCAGGGTTCTGGTGTAACCCTGGCTAATCTTGAAAGTCCCTCGGTAGCCAAGGATGGGTAGCTTGAGCCCCTGATCCAGCTGTCGCCGCTTCCACAGTGCCTGGATTGCAGGCCTACCACCATGTTCAGCTTTGAAGACAGGGGCACCGAGCACCATCCAGGCCTCCTGGTAAAGAGCTGTTATGGTTTTCAAACAGGGTCACACCATATCCCTGGCTAACCTGCGTGTCGCTGTTTACATTTTTTTTTTTTAAGCTGGAAGAATAATAATCCCAGGAGGAATGAAAGAGACTCCAAGCCCAAAGAAACTTCTGTGCTTCAACCATTCCCAACATGAGGGCCTCCCTCTCCAAGTCTGAGGCCAATCAACGTCTGGGGATCCCATGACCTTCCTAGGCCCCTACTAGCCTTGCAGAGGTGTCCAGCCAACCTTAATGAGAACCTGTGGTTTCAGAGTCAGAAGGCGGCAGTGGAGGGGCAGACCAGTGAGGGGTCAAAGCAGACCTGCTCAGTGGTGTGCCCTGGGGGCACTAAAGGACGTACCTTCCGAATGCCGGTGTTTCAAGGCTCCCATGGGGCAGCTGAACTGGCAAGGGTCATATGATGACCAAGTCAGCACTTGGTCTCACACTTCCTAGGTGGGGCCCGGTTGGTAACACACTTATCAGCAAAGCCCACAGAGGGGGGGACAGGATGGCCTCTTATCTAACCACACAGCTCAGCTACTTGGTTCCCAGGGAGCCTGCAAAACAGTTCTCAAAGAACATGAGAATGGCTGTTCTAACTTTGGGGCCCCAGTGAAAGGGCAGCTTCTTGCTGGAAGGGCTGCCTCCTCGTTTTTAATGCCCCACTCATCCCTCAGGGCAACTGAACTTCCCTCTGTGTCTTGGTCCACTGTCTCTTGACCGTAAATCTGGGACCCCTGAGATGAGGTAGGTCAGTTAAATGCCAGACAGCGTACTGGCATTCACTTTTAGCACTTGTCACGCAGAGAACTCTCAACTGTGCCCAAAGGGGCTCGATCTAAGGTCAACTGGCCAGCAGCCCTCCATTTCTTGCTTTGTCCCTTCTGCCCCGCCCCAATGTTTTCATTTATCACTGTCCCCATTTGCAGGACAAGCTTGACTTTCCAGTAACCTACAATAATCAGCCCTGTGCGGGCTTGCTGAATTCCTGGGAATACATCAGCGGACAAAACTAGGTCCTCTCCTCCTGAAATCTATTTTCTAGCAGGAGAGACTCGCAGTAAGCAAATACAATTAGATAAATAATGAATTAGTCAAGCAGTGAGTGATGAAACCGCAGCCAGGATGCGGGAGGGGAAGAAGGGCTCCGAAGAGAAGCAAGCAGGCCCGGAATAGAGGAAGGACGCTCTAGCCTCAGCCCTTCGTGGGCCCCATCGGATGGGCCGAGCCCACGAGCGCCTGCCGCTGAGGCCTCTGCCTGGGGCGGCCCTGCGGGTCCCTGGATCCCTGGATCCCGCCCGGGCTTTTCAGCCACGTCCACGGCCACGCCCTCCCGGTCACCTCCTCCCGGAGCCCGGCCAGCCGGCTCTCACCTCCAGCGCCGGAGCCTGACTCGTTGGGTGAAATGCGGTCGCCCTTGCCCCCTGGGTTTTCCCCGCTCTGGACCCCGCGCCTCCGCCCGGGTCGCTAACGTGGCAGCAGGAGCTGGGAGACCCCGCCCGGGAGGGGGAGGCTCGTGTTACCGCCCCGGCCGCTCCCCGCCCAGTACCCACCAGGCCTGGGAAGCTGCAAAGTCGCTTCTGCACGAACACCGGAGGGAAACTGAGGCCCTAGAGGGTGGGGACCCTCCTGAGCCACAGGACGTGTTGGTGAGGGAAGGCCTCGAACCCCGGGCCCAACCTCAGGCTACCCACAGGCTACTACTCACAGGCCTCCAGCCCACCACCGAAGGAGAATTCGGGGTGATCCTTTATTTTGCCCTTGCCCCCCAGCCAGTCTCCCTCCCGCAGGGCCAAGCCAAGCGAGGCAGCGGGTAGCTAACTTCCTAAGGCGAGCTCCTACACAACCAGCAAAACCCTGCCAAGGTTCTCAACAAAGTTCTTGGCTTAGCCCTGTCTCGGCCTCTAGAAATTGGCTATGATGGCTTCTATCACCCGCTAGTGCCGGTCTGGAGCCCACCTGAAGTCCATCCTTAGGCTTGCAGGGAAGACTGCAGGAAAGCACTAAAGGCAGGAGGCAGGGATTCCCAGGAGCCTTGGAGGCAAGGGTGTTCAAGTGGCTTTGTGGGTTACCACCTCAACCTTTGCTTTGCAGTTCCTAAAGCCCAGCTGGCCCTTCTCACCCTACCCCCACTCCCTGACATTTAAGTCTCAGCCGTCAGCTCTGAGGTCCCCTCCCTGACCTCACAATGCAGAGAAGCACACTCTACATTCTGAGTTTTGCTGGGTGGTTTTTTGGGGAGGCGTCAAGGTGGGTGTTTGTTATTGTTATTGTTTACTAGCTTTTCTTCAGTTAATCAGCTAGACAAAAGGCGTTACAGCACGAAGGTTCGCTTGGGGAAATAGAGCATGGGTCTCCTGAGGGTGGGGGGGCTTGCCGGCTTAAAGAGAACGGATAGAGTAGACTTCACTTGGACAAATAAGGGAAATGAGGGTGTCCGCTATGCCCGCATCTAGAAGTGCGTTCTAGGCAGGGGGAACAGCTAATCCAAAGGCCCTGAGGCTTGCTGTGTTTGAGGGCCCACAGGAGGGGCAGTGAGGAAGGGGACAGCAGGAAATGGGGTCAAAAGGTAGAGGGTGGGGCTTAGAAACGCCATTTCTCCACGTGAAGAGAATAGCCGTCACATGGAGAGGAGAGGAGTAGCCGGGGCTGGGTTAGGTTCGAACAAGTGCTCCTCGTGGTGGCCGCAGAGTTTAGACGAGGCTGTCAGCCCCCCTGCAACTGGAGTAGGGATGGCTGTGAGTCTGGAAACGGAACCCCTGTCCTCTGCAAGAGCAATGGGTGCTTCTAAACCACTGAGCTATCTTGCCAGCCCACTGGGTTTTCAAGGTTTGCCTTGGCTGCTGGCTGCGGCGGCGAAGGTAACCGTAGGTGGAAGCAGAGGGGCCTTTGAGCTTCTCTGAAGCATCCAGGCAGTATGTGATGAGCCCAGCCTCGCCGTGTGAGATGAGGGGCGGAGCCTGAAGGCTCACGGCACAGGAGTTTGGGAGGATTTACCTGTGAAGGCTGAGGGAAAGAGAAGGTAGGATAGTCAGAGAAGTGGGTTTGCCAGTACCTGAGATGTGGAAGATAGCACATGCCCCTACGGTTACCATCCGTGTGAAGGCGTCCAGAAACAGCGTTTTGGCACCTAGCATATGTCCAATAAATAACTGAATGAATGAATAAATAAATAAATAAATAAATAAAAAGTAAATAAATAAATAAATAAATAAATAAATAAATAAATAAATAAATAAATAAATAAATAGATAAATAAATAAATAAATAAATTTGGGGAGTGGGTGGGCTAACGACCCCGTTGGGTGTCCGAGAGAGAGGGGGCAGCCTCCTGACCTGAGGTGAAATCCCACCAGCCTCTTTCACTACCGTTTCTGGGCGGCTAAGGGCCAGGTTTCTGGACTGTCTCGTTTGGTCCTCTGTACGAATTCATTGCACAGCGGCAGTCGGAGGCCGGGGGACACCGGCCAGAGGCGCGGCTCGGCAGCGCGCGCACGGGGCTGCGGAGCTCCCTCCCGCAGGACGCGAGCTTAGGTAGGCGGAGCGTCTGGAGGCTGGGAGCCGGGGCATAGAGGGAGGGCACAGCGTTGCTAGGGGATTCTGATTGGTTGCTCCGGAAGGGTTGTCCCGCGATGCTCCGCCTCCCGTGTCGTTATAGGTACTTGCGGCCCGGCGGGGTCTCACGAGAGAAAGTGCACAGCTACAGCTGACTGAGCGAGCGTGAGGGTAAGGACCAACGGGGTCCCCGGGCCTGCGATTTTTGAGGGCCGAGGCGGAGAACCTGGACCCACGCGGGTGTCTGGAGCCTGGCCCCGACCCATGGCCTCCCTTTTTCCTGGGCTTCCTGGAACCAGTCGCTCTTGGGCACTGGTCTGGCAAAAGTCCTAGACCTACAGGTAGTAGAAGAGCTCAGATTCCGGAAAGTGATGACTGGGGAGGGAGTGACGGCAGTGAAAGCGACTTAGGCCCAAGTGTGGAGTCCAGAACTGTTTTGTCTGTTTTCGGAGGTAGGATCCCTACTTAGTAGCCCTAGCTGTCCTGGATCAGGTTATCTTCGAACTCACAGAAGTGCTGAGATTGAAGGCGTGGGCCTCAACGTCCGCCATTACATCTCATTTTTAGAGACAGTTGTCCCCCTGTGTAACCCTGGCCTGAAACTCCTGGTCCTGTATGGACCAGGCTGGACCAGAACACAAAGAGATCGTCCCGCCTCTCTCTCCCGAATGCTGGGATTAAAGGCGGGTGTCACTCTACCTGGGGGGGCGGGGTGGGTGAGAGACATAACGTCTGTTATCTTCCACAGTTGGACGTATAAAGCTGCTGAGAGCAGATTCGGTTGGGCCCTGAGATTTGACTCCCAAGGCAATGTTACAGAAGACAGGTATCCACACCTCCTGGGGAGCTGCGGGGAGGGAGTGGTGGAGGGGTGAGGAGGACGGGAGGAACTCCCGAGCTCTCTTGATGTGGTTCTACGAGGAGGAACGTTCCTCACTTCTTCTTGGAGTGGGGCCAGGAAAAGCAAGGAGATGCCCCACACCCCGGAATCGGTTCCCCTCCAAAGAGGCCACTTCCTTTCTCCCGTGTAGAGGTCCTATCTTACTCGGTACCGGCCTGCGATGGCAGCCCTGTAAAGCGGGCAGGGTGATCTATATGTAAGGAAACTGAAATCCAAGAGGAAGGGCTCATGTAGATGAGCATTTTAGGCTTTCTGAGGTGGAGAGCAAAGAAGCCCAAGGCCTCAGAAAACCCGCTGCCACCTCTGTGTAGCATGGAGAGAGGAGGTCCGGTCTCACATATATCAGGGACGTGAGTTCAGGGCTCGTGAGTTATGTTGACCCCCAGCTTGTGACAAGAGGGAGCAGGTGAATACATCGCCTTGCCCCACGTGCTTGCCCTCGTGCTGCACTTACAGGCTGAGCCAACGCTACCCCCCCCCCCCACTGGGCTGTGCTGAGGTGAAGTGATGGCTGAGGAGGGCTGTGGGGGTAGGGGTGACGACTAGGGAGGCTGAAGGAGTCACCATCCCTGCTTCCCCCCCCCCCCCCAGTGCTCTTCCTGGCCCTGGTGGCACCAGTGCTGCTGCTGGATAATGGGCTCCTGCGGACGCCGCCCATGGGCTGGCTCTCCTGGGAACGCTTCCGCTGCAACATCAACTGTGAGGAGGACCCAAAGAACTGCATCAGGTAAGGGGGATCTGTGCACATCCAGGGCGACAAAATGGTGACAGCGGGCACAGGACGCTCACCGGCAAAGAAAACTCGGGGTCAGAATCATCAAGCCCACAGACACTGCAGACCGGAGGTCTGTCTGACACTTAGCCCTGTGACCTGCTTGGGGCCTCAGTGGGTAGGGACTTTGAGGGGGACCTGCCCCCCCAAAGGTAACTGAAAAGAGATCAAAGGCCAGAGAGGCCCCACATGCTTCCCTTGGCCTAGTCCTGCCCTTTGTCCTGGGGAGCCAGACCACCCCTTTCACCCCACCCTAACTGACGCAACCCTGGGAGGTCATTTGCAGTTACCTGGCCTAGTCCTCAGCTGACAGCAGAGGCATGCCTTTTACAGTCAGAACTCCCACCCGGAACAGAGGGAAAGAGCGGAAATGAGGGGCAGCCTGGTCTGTTGAGCCACACCACCCTCCTGTCCCCTGCCAGTGAACGGCTCTTCATGGAGATGGCTGACCGGCTGGCCCAGGATGGGTGGCGGGATCTTGGCTATGTATACCTCAACATTGATGACTGCTGGATTGGTGGGCGTGATGCCCAAGGCCGCCTGATGCCTGACCTCAAGCGCTTCCCTCACGGGATTGCCTTTCTGGCTGACTATGTAAGTCCCACCCGCTCCAGTCCTGCCCCTTAGTATGGGAGCCCGGGCCTCTCCTTAGCACAGTCTCCTTGGAGAATTCAATCTGATGGTGAAAACTGAAAACCGAATACCTACTTTTGACCCGATGAGGTAAGAGCCAGAAAGGGACCTTAACAAAAAGCGAGATCCCTGGAGGAAGCATCTGGTTGAACTGATCCCAGAGATAAGGCCTCAAGGCAAAAGACTGCTGGAGGGGAGGTGGCCACAGCTAGCGGAAGCCAGCCAAGCTGGGACCTGTCTTCATCAGTAGAAGCCACTAAGGGTTTCTGCTTTCTTTATTTAATTGAGATGGGGTCTTGTGTAGCCCAGGATGACCTCCAACAATCTGACGCTGAGGATAAGCTTGAAATTCTGGGTGCTAGCTGGGCGTGGCGATACATGCCTTTAATCCTATGGTCTAGAGGCCGGCAGAGCCATGTGAGTTCAAGGCCAGCCTGGTCCACATACAGAGTTCCAGGACAGCCAGGGCTACACAGAGAAACCCTGTCTCAAACAAACAAACGTCTGATGCTTCGGTCTCTACCCCCAGAGTGCCGGGTGCATGCCACCAACCCAGGGCTTTGGCCATGGTGGGTGGTCAGTCTGCCAGCTGAGCTGTACATCCTCAACCCTGGGAGCCACTGAAGGTGGTGATGGGCTCTGTCGGACGTGCCTGCCCAGAGAGTCTCACTTGAGCCACTATGTCTCTTTAACCCCCCACCACACCCCCCAGGCTCATTCCCTGGGTCTGAAGCTAGGCATCTATGAAGACTTAGGCAAAATGACCTGCATGGGTTACCCTGGCACAACGCTAGACAAAGTGGAGATGGACGCCAAAACCTTTGCCGAGTGGAAGGTGGACATGCTGAAGCTAGATGGCTGTTTCTCATCTGCCAAAGAGCGCGCAAAGGGTGAGCTCGCTGCTGGCAGCGCCCTCATCTGGAGCTGTCTGTCTGCACCCAGAGGTGGCGGTTTTCCCAGACCCCTCACCCCTGCTTGCAGCTCCCGGGGCTCCCTAAAGATGCACCGTAACTACCTCCTGAGGCTTGGTACCCAGGAAGCGAGTCTTTAAGATGCGGGGAGCCATTTTCTAGACTGTTTCCTGTGCCTGTTCAATCAGCAAATTGGGGTTTCTGCAGGCTACCCCATGATGGCTGCTGCCCTGAATGCCACAGGCCGTCCTATCGCCTTTTCTTGCAGCTGGCCAGCCTACGAAGGGGGCCTACCCCCCAAGGTAAGCTGCCTGCCACAGCTTTCCACTGCCGGGCCCCATCACCTCCTACAGGCCAGGCCTGAGGGAGGCTGCCATCATAGCTAGCTTCAGAGTCAGCCAACACACCCATTTGTAGGTGTCTAGACTCACTGAACCGTAGAGGAGGCCTCTGCCAGCTCATCAGGTAGGCTGTCGGGGTTGGCATCCAAGGCAGGCCAGCCACGGTCACAACGTTCAGCAAGTGGTCAGAATCCCTGCGTGGCTCCATGAGTGCCAGAAAACCCAGAAGGCTGCTGAGGCCGGGCAGAGCCTCAGAAAGGGCTCAGACCTCCAAACCTGAAGGAGGCAGCTTGTCACTGAAGCAATGGGAGCTTACATCACGTGTGTGACGCGCGGTGGGGAGGGTGATGGTACACCCCCCACAATGGAGGGAAGGTCCCCTGACTGCGGCCACCGTCCCAAGCCACACACCCCTGAGCGCCTCTTCCCTGCCTCACCGCAAGCCTCTGTCAGCCAGCCCCTCCGGCTGGTAGGTGGCCCCTGAGCAGCAAGGTGACTGATGCCGGCCCCTGCCTTTCCTGACACCCAGGTGAACTACACTCTGATTGCCAGCATCTGCAATCTCTGGCGCAACTATAACGATATCCAGGACTCCTGGAAGAGTGTGCTGTCCATCCTGGACTGGTTTGTGGAGCACCAGGACATACTGCAGCCAGTGTCAGGTCCCGGGCGCTGGAATGACCCAGACATGGTACCAGGGTGGAAGGGGAGGGCTCTGGCCCCACCCTGTGCAACCCCCATGCTCTCTTCCCTATAGGGCAGTGGCTCTCACCCTTCCCGATGCTGCAACCCTTTCATACAGTTCCTCCCTCCTGTTGTGGTGGCCCCAACCATAGGATTACTTCACGGCTACCTGATAACTAATTTTGCCCCTGGGATGAACCATAATCTAATATGTGACACACTCACACCACCCCATGGGGTCTCGACCCACAGGTTGAGAACCACTGTTCTTGGGCTAAAGCTGTACCTCTAGACTGGGTGTGTAGGGCTCTTCTAAGCCCCACCCTTCCCCTCTTTCACATCATAATGTTCAAGAGCAGAGTTTGGGAATGCCCACTGTTCAGCATTTCCCCAGGACATTCCGATGTCTCTCAAAGCTCTGAAAGCCCATCCGTAGCATCCACCCACCCTCCCTGCGCTCGCTCGTCCCTTTCCCTCTCTGCCTCTGCTCCTCTGACCCTCTCACAGGCGCCCCTCCCCAGCCCCGCAAAGCCCCCAGCCCTGCCCCACCCCGTTCACCAGCATGCTGGCCCTCCGCCCTGCTCTCAATCCTTCAGAGCCCAGTCCTAGCTGCAGGGGCTTACACACAGACTTTCGTGATGGTCAGCTTATTTAGGCAGCAACCATCACCAGTCGATGACGATGAAACAGGAGGGGTCCAGCCTGGGAGCCGAGCTCACCTGCTGTGAAGCTCCTGCTCTAGCTCTGCAGCTTCGCCTGGCCAGCCTCTCCTCCTCTCTTGTTTGTTTTTGTTGTTCTGTTTGAGACAAAGTCTCTGTACAGCCCTGGTTGGCTTTATAGACCAGGCTGCCCTTGAACTCATGGAGATCCACCTGCCTCTATCTCCCACATGCTGGGGACAAAGGTGTGTGTGACACATTCATCTGTTTGGTTTTGAGACAGGCTCTTTTAGTGGAGACTTCATGTGGCCAAGGATGGCCTCGAACGCCTAATCCCCTTGCTTCTACCTCCCAAGTGCTGAGATTGCAGGCAGGAGCCACAGAGCCTACCCAGCCTTTCTTCTTGTTTTTTTGTTTTGTTTTCTCCCAGTACTAAGGCTTTTACACACTCTAGGCAAGCACCGACCGAACCCTGGGCTACACACTCACCCTTTTTTTTTTTTTTTAATTTTTAATTTTTGTTTTTTTAAGACAGGTTTTCTCTGTGTAGCCCTGGCTGTCCTGGACTCTCTTTGTAGACCAGACTGGCCTCAAACTCACAGAGATCCACGTGCCTCTGCCTCCCAAGTGCTGGGATTACAGGCGTGCGCCACCATGCCCGCCATCACTCACCCTGTTTTTTTTTAATCTTTACTCTGAGACAAATCTCACTGAGTCGCCCAGGCTAACCCTGAACTCCCTCTAGCACAGAGCCCTTGTATTTATTAACCTGCATCTCCCCACTCACAAATCTGGCCACGGGTTATTGTATCACCTGAGCTCTGAGCGCTCCAAAAAGGTCATCACCCCCACTCTATACAAGGGAGGGGATGTGACTTGCTGTCCCTGTGCCCCTTGGCTGTGCTAAGCCAGCCCCCTCCCCCCCCCCCCCCCTCTAGCTGGCTCCCTGATCATTGTCTGCTCTTGCTTTGGCCAATGTTTGGCCCTGCTACCCACCTCCACGAGGAGGCCAACCCTGATTGCTCCTTTCCTGTGTCCCCAGCTGCTCGTTGGGAACTTTGGCCTCAGCTTTGATGAATCCCGGGCCCAGATGGCCCTGTGGACAATACTGGCAGCCCCCCTCTTCATGTCCACGGACCTGCGTACCATCTCCCCCCAGAACATAGACATTCTGCAGAATCCACTCATGATCAAAATCAATCAGGACCCCTTAGGCATCCAGGGTCGCAGGATCTTCAAGGTACTAGAATGAGGAGGAGGAGGAGGAGAGAAGGGAGGGTAAGGAACTTGGGCTCCCCTGAGAGCCGCAGAGTTGGGGCTGGGTCTCCCTTCTGGTCCCATAGGAGCCGCTGGCTTCTTGCCTGAGACAGAGCAGGACAGTTCCTTAGAGTCAGGGTGGGGGTACATGACAGGAGCGTAGGGGATTGGTGAGTCACGACAGCTGCGTTCAGGTGATGTCTGCAGAAAGTGAGTACTTGTCTCCTGAGTTCCAAGAATGTACAGTAGCAAAAGACTACTGTCCGCTGCTGCTGCTGCAAAAAGTGTCTACTGTATACTGCCGCCACTGTAAGTATCTACTGTATACTGTTACTAACTGCAAGTGTCCACTGTTCATTTGAGCATCACCGCAGGCTGGGCATGCTATAAGCATCTTCTCAGTAACTCTGTTCTACTGCAATTGGAACTTCCAGAATCTAAGAAACAAGACCACATGATTCAGCTTGAATTATGTCACCCCAAATCCTCTGTTCTGCATATAAATCTCTGTATCTAATGAAAAGAACTATATTATACTATAGAAGGCACTTGTGGAGGCCCAGCAAGAAGGCTCAGCTGGTAAAGTGGCAGAGCCTGATGACCTGGGTTCAGTCCTGAGACTCAAAGATAGAAGATGAAAACCAAATGCCACAAGTTTTCTGCTTTCCACGTGTTCTCTCTCTCTCTCTCACACACACACACACACGCACACACACGTATGTTATTAGTTAATAAAAGTTGGTGATGGAGCTTGCTGCGGTGGTACATACCTGTGATCCCAGCACTCTAGGAGGCAGAGGCAGGCAGATCTCTGTGAGTTCCAGGCCAGCCTGGTCTACAAAGTGAGTCCAGGACAGCCAAGGCTACACAGAGAAACCCTGAATTAGTCTTGCCTAGGTGCCAATGGTGGCGCTGAGCCTGAGGAGTGAATAGTTTGGATGATGAAACTCTCTACTTGAGGCCAACTGCATACTCTCCTCCCGCAGTATTCATTGTTCCCTCTTCTAGTATCCCCAGCTGCAGCCCTGGAATGGCCTTGGCAGTGAACAGTGTGCCCTCAGTTCTTTGTGTCTACACCTCTTGTCATTCTGGGGCGGGGCCAGTGTCAGTTAGCAGCTGCTGAGTCGAGGAAGGGAGAGAAAAGTGTAGGTGCTAGATGGCTGTTGCATAACATTGTCCTCGAGTCTCTATGACAGAGCTGTGGGCTGGGGTTAGAGAGAGAGCTTTGGGGCATGGTAGAGAAGTGAGGGATGTCGGGATCAGACTGAGCGTGAGCCTCCAGCCATTGGTTATCTTTTATGCCTAGAGTAAATCTCAAATTGAAGTGTTCAAGCGGCCTCTGTCTAACGATGCCAGCGCCCTGGTCTTCTTCAGCCGCAGGGTAGACATGCCTTACTTCTTCCATTGCTCCCTCTTGCAACTGAACTTCCCCAGATACAGAGTGTATGAGGTGAGTGTCCCGCTGTACACAGGCCCTGGCCCAGTCCTCTGGCATCCAGGTGGCCCTGCTTCACATATGGTGTCCCCTGTACCTTGGAGCCCTAGATGGCTCCTGGGGTGGGGAGGGCAGCTAGAGGCACCGAACGCTGTAGCTGGTGCTGTTTTCTACACTGTTTGTTCCAGTTGTGTTGATGGAGCCTCTGGGTATGAATGTTCACCCTTGACCCTCCCAAGCTGGTCCTCTGTCCCTGCTCAGCTTTCGCTGCCGCTGTCCTTAGAGCTTGCCATGCGGTGGGGCTTCTTTCAGCCTTGCTGATAGTGTTCTCACTCCCATGGGGTGTGCTGTGACCTAGCACAGACAGACTGAAGTACGGGCTTCTTGATCTTCGGGGGGGGGGG